GTATGTATGTATGTATGTATGTATGTATGTATGTATGTATGTATGTATGTATGTATGTATGTATGTATGTATGTATGTATGTATGTATGTATGTATGTATGTATGTATGTATGTATGTATGTATGTATGTATGTATGTATGTATGTATGTATGTATGTATGTATGTATGTATGTATGTATGTATGTATGTATGTATGTATGTATGTATGTATGTATGTATGTATGTATGTATGTATGTATGTATGTATGTATGTATGTATGTATGTATGTATGTATGTATGTATGTATGTATGTATGTATGTATGTATGTATGTATGTATGTATGTATGTATGTATGTATGTGTGTGTGTATGTATGTATTATGTATGCATGTGTGTATATATATGTGTGTGTGTATGTGTATATCTGTGTATGCATGCTTGCATGTGTGCATTTGTATGTTAGTGAGAGTTTGCGTTTCGTTGTTTCTCTATCTGTTTATATTATCACCAGGAGGCTAAAGTTATCCGGCATCTACAGATTCAACACATAACATATGTTGACAATTTGTTTAATTAACACTGGCACCTTTGCCCGGTTCTGTGATTAAATGTGATCTCAAACACCGCCAATTTCCGCTGTTAACTTTGATCTCCTCGCCTTTTGGCAATATCAGCGTATCAACGAATTCTAAGCTAAATGTTTTTTTTAGATATTTTGTTAAAAAACACTGCTATTTCGTAATCTTGTTACTAATTACATAAGGCAATTCCCCTAAACACACACACACAGACGCCCGCGCTTGCTTGCATACACTCACGAAAACACGCACACACGCACACAAACGCACATGCACACACAGACATAAACACGTATAAAAAAAACGCACACCAAAATCCAATGTCTCCAGATAGCCGCCAATCACTTTGCAGGATTATTTTTAGTAACATGCCCACACCCAGCTCCACCCCTCTGTGCTGACTTTACTCACTCTACACAACTCCCGTGTCACCAAGTTTGGGAGCTATATATTCGTCATGCATCTGTTCTCCCGGTACTTGGCATTTCGATAGGAAACCTATAGTACTCATGCGCCCGGAGGAGAAACCACGATCCTTTCTCTTGTAGAAGTTTGCACGGTTTGGCGGCAGTTTACTTACAGTTCACGTTGACGGAAACAAGGGCGACTATTTGCACGTCAGAGAGTTAGTAGTTTTGATAAAATGTTAACTACGTGATAATCGTAATAGATATATGACAATGTTGTGTAGTTGTTTGCTTAGTCGGGTACTCGTATCTTTTCGTCTTTTTAGCCGGTAGCCTTCCAGTGTTCTATAGAGTGGCACGGAAGCCACAGCACAGTGCGATACCAGTTAAGGACAGGAAAGAATATCTTCCTCTCCATATAAAAAAGTATAGATAGTATTGTAGAGATCATGAGTTACCCGTGCAGTATGATCCCTCTCGGCCTGTTTTGTAAACTTACAGGAAAGATAACATCAGACATTTGAAACAAAGCATGCTAGACTGAAGTTGCCGGGTCAGAAAAACGGTGCTCTGTGCGTCTGTCGGAGGATCCCTCCTAGACCTGCTGCCGGTCAAGGCTAAAGATCTGGTCTGATCTGTCATAATATTACGTTTTCAGGTTGCATTTCCTTTTCATAGAATAAAACTAGTGAGCTTCCCAATTCACCCCTCAGTGTGTGAGTGAAAGGATTATCCTTATTTCAGTGAAATCATATGGGATTGGTAGCACAGGAACCGCCACACTTGCCCGCCATACCTATTGTTACAGTCCCAGTACTCATCCATGCGAATATTCTAGAAAAGTTGACATATGTTCTCAACCTAAAAACTGATACAGTAGCACGTGGTTGGGCGACGGGAGATGCATCTACAAAGATGCTGACTAAAACTTGCCTGGTTTTATAATGTTAAACTTCTTCTTAAGCATTTTAAGCAGACATCTCTTACTTTTATTCAAATCCTGACTGACCTTCTCTTTGCAGTTGGTGACTCCAAGTGTTGGTTCTATCATCGTTACCCCCTTGTGGGATGCAATTTTTCGTTATTTTGAAGCCCCACCCTGGCAATATCCAGGGGCCGCAATATAACCCGGCCATAAATATGGCCTAACGACTTAACGCGGTTACCGGTACCTCTCCACGGGTGATTCTCATCCGCATTATGGCACTTTGCGTCATCGGGTGTTTATCGCTTGTGTGATATCCTTGTAGGGTAAAATGTACTACTACTACTACTACTACTCCAAGTGTTTGTAGATCTGAATAAATATTATCTCCCCGTATTTCTGTTGGTCTGCCTCATGGTCCGCCTTTCCATGTATGCAGTTTAAGTCTTTTTTCCCCTTTTTTTTTTTAAAATACTGGTGATGTTAGTAATTAATGTTGATTTAAATCAGTTGTGAATGTTGAATAAGCGCATAAAAACCAAACTGAACTGATTTGCTGTCTATTTTTGCTCTTCTTTTTTCAAAGTCTGATCCACAAGCTGTGACGACATGGGGCAAATTGTTGGATGTGTGAAATATGTATTGTTCATTTTCAACTTCTGTCTGTGGGTAAGTTATAGAGATACGTTCGCTTCTAGTTGTAGTTAAAATGTTTTTTTTTTTTTTAAATATGCTTTGTTTTAATCTTTCTCTTTATCTTTTTGTGTGTGCCTTTTATTCGTCTTCGCCATCGTTGTTGCAAACTCCTTCGATTCGAGTCGCTCCTCTTGAAAAACTTGACCAATTAAAGACTGCAGTGCCTTGATTCCATTCTTATAAACAAGCATATCGCTTTTCTAAGCTACTTATTTGTTAGTGTGTTATTATATTATTCCTTACCTAGTAATAGGTGTTTCGTCTTTTTTTATGACGAAATTGTTTGTTATTCGAAGCCCCATCCCTGGCTTTTACCAGGGGCCGCAATATAGTCAGGCCATAAGTATGGCCAATTGTCTGAACGCGGTTTCTGGGACCTCTCCACGGCCATCCTCATCCACATGGTGGCATTTTGTGTAATCGGGTGTTTATCGCTTGTGTGATGTCCTAGTGGGGTAGAAAGTCAGTCAGTCAGTTTTCTAAACTACTACCTTTTTTTTCCCCATCTAGTCATCCCTATGTGGGATGTAATTTTTCGTTATTTGAAGCCAGAGGAGTGAGCAAACAGTTCAGATGCACATACAGATCATCAGGGTCTGAGGAGAATGGCCCTGCGGGGAGTTACCAGGAGATTTGACCGACGCTCAACACTCAGGGAAAGGCAAGACGGATACACAATCAGACAGCTACTGGTGCCATCGGAGCTTAAACTCTTTATTTGCTGTTGAAGATGGAAACGGAGCGCTCATGGGAGTGTCCCAAGTGAAGTGATGTCGATTCTCAATTCAACATTCAACATTTAAGCTGCGAGGTCTTTGAAAGGCCTCTTCTATTTTGATCGGTTGCACTGATGTCACGGTGGTCGCGTTCCGAAACGTTTTGCAACCTTCCGAGAAAGGCTTATTAAAAGCCCCCGACCCGGTCTCTGTATTCTTCTCCAAGCTGGAAATTATCATCAAACAAGGTCATGACAAGTGCTTTTTAAAGCTGCTTTTTTAGCTGAGTGGATTTCGCAGCTGAAGAATTTCTACGAGATGAAATAGCCAATCTTACCAAATCTCACTTGCTGCTTCTTACGACATGCATGGTATGATACACGGTTACTTTTATTTTATGCCCTTAAGGACCCCTAAAAATCGTGAACTTTGGAATGTTAGACAGATTAGGAAACAGTCTATGCTCTCACATTGGAAAGGTACATTCTAGTGTTTCTGTCAGTTTAAATCTTGACAATCTTTCAGCCTCAGCAGCGGCCGTGTTCTCTGTAGTGCAGCTACCTGACGATGTGACCACATCGGCGACTGGAGGTGTAGCGTTCTAGATGGTTAACCAAAAAGGCAAATCTCAAATATTCCGTTCAGCAAAGATTATTCAGGCACTGATTAGCAGCAGCAAGAGCATAGTCTGACGTGGTAAAATGAGTGGTGGGCAATTTCCCGGTACCGTAAATCTATTAAATTACCAATATAATTACTATTTTGCTCCACCCCCAGTAATTCTCTATTGCTGAAACACGTTCAGCAGTATCTGGGTACAAGTGGTTTCCAACTAGTTTGGCTCACTGAGATCTTTTTAGAATCAATTTCTTTAGCCGAGCCCTTTGGACATACTGTATTTGGACGGTCAGTTCCAGAAAGGCCTGCTCAATTTTGTTGTCTGTTAAAACTATCATCCAGCTCATAAATTTGTTTCTGGACTTCCATTGTCGACGCCAGCTAGAAGATGAGCTGAGAACCGACTAAGGATATTCCAGTAAATACCCCGTCCCCATCTTAAGCAACCAGCGCATAGTTCTAATTCCATCTGCAAGTAAAAAAATTAATTCAAGTATCCTTTTCAGACCAGTGGCGCATCAAGCATGTGTTGCTTTATTCGTATTTATAAAGGTCAGTCTGCCATTAGTTAATGTGGTCAGCATTACGCCGACCGTTTTTACTTCCCAGGACTTATTTGGTGACCATTTGAGACTGAGTCAACCTGGGAGCTAAGGTAAGATTTGAAATCCGACTAAGTGAGGATTTACATTCCAGAACCTTCGAGCCTGAAACTAAGCATCTAGTCGCTACGCCATCGCGGTTCAAGATTCAAGACTAAACCATTAGCAGGATGATTATTTGTCCATCGTGCCTTTCTATTGAATTTTGATTTTGTAAAAAAAAAAATTTTTATGTTAGTTAAAAATGGGTACCAGACAATTATCTGGTAATTAGAGGTCGGCAGTCTAACAATTAACACACAATCAGCCATCTGCAGATGTTTCTAACATCACATATCCAAACTCATTCCACTGGGTTTATTGTGGGATCTCTTGCTGTTTACTCACCTACAAATATAATACTTAAAGTGTATTCGTTTCTGGCATACACAACGTGTCTGGCCTTCACAACGTTTCTGGCATACACAACGTTTCTGGCATACACAACGTTTCTGGCATACACAACGTTTCTGGCATTCACAACGTGTCTGGCCTACACAACGTTTCTGGCCTACACAACGTTTCTGGCATACACAACGTTTCTGGCCTACACAACGTTTCTGGCCTACACAACGTTTCTGGCCTACACAACGTTTCTGGCCTACACAACGTTTCTGGCCTACACAACGTTTCTGGCATACACAACGTTTCTGGCCTACACAACGTTTCTGGCCTACACAACGTTTCTGGCCTACACAACGTTTCTGGCCTACACAACGTTTCTGGCATACACAACGTTTCTGGCATACACAACATTTCTGGCATACACAACGTTTCTGGCCTACACAACGTTTCTGGCATACACAACGTTTCTGGCATACACAACGTTTCTGGCCTACACAACGTTTCTGGCATACACAACGTTTCTGGCATACACAACGTTTCTGGCATACACAACGTTTCTGGCATACACAACGTTTCTGGCATACACAACGTTTCTGGCCTACACAACGTTTCTGGCCTACACAACGTGTCTGGCCTACACAACGTTTCTGGCCTACACAACGTTTCTGGCCTACACACCGTTTCTGGCCTACACACCTTTTCTGGCCTACAGTGTCTGGCCTACAGTGTCTGGCCTACACAACGTTTCTGGCATACACAACGTTTCTGGCCTACACAACGTGTCTGGCCTACACAACGTTTCTGGCCTACACAACGTTTCTGGCCTACACACCGTTTCTGGCCTACACACATTTTCTGGCCTACAGTGTCTGGCCTACAGTGTCTGGCCTACACAACGTTTCTGGCCTACACAAAGTTTCTGGCATACACAACGTTTCTGGCCTATACAACGTTTCTGGCATACACAACGTTTCTGGCATACACAACGTTTCTGGCATACACAACGTTTCTGGCCTACACAACGTATCTGGCCTACACAACGTATCTGGCCTACACAACGTTTCAGGCCTACACAACGTGTCTGGCCTACACAACGTTTCTGGCCTACACAACGTTTCTGGCCTACACAACGTGTCTGGCCTACACAACGTGTCTGGCCTACACAACGTTTCTGGCCTACACAACGTTTCATGGCTACACAACGTTTCTGGCCTACACAACGTTTCTGGCCTACGCAACGTTTCTGGCCTACACAACGTTTTTTGGAATACACAACGTGTCTGGCATACACAACGTTTCTGGTATACACAACGTTTCTGGCCTACACAACGTTTCTGGTATACACAGCGTTTCTGGCCTACACAACGTTTCTGGCATACACAACGTTTCTGGCCTACACAACGTTTCTGGCATACACAACGTTTCTGGCCTACACAACGTTTCTGGCCTACACACCGTTTCTGGCCTACACACCTTTTCTGGCCTACAGTGTCTGGCCTACAGTGTCTGGCCTACACAACGTTTCTGGCATACACAACGTTTCTGGCCTACACAACGTTTCTGGCCTACACAACGTTTCTGGCCTACACAACGTTTCTGGTATACACAACGTTTCTGGCATACACAACGTTTCTGGCATACACAACGTTTCTGGCATACACAACGTTTCTGGCATACATAACGTTTCTGGCCTACACAACGTTTCTGGCCTACACAACGTTTCTGGCATACACAACGTAAGGTCATCGTCGGTGCTATGGAGTGATTGATATACGATGCTGAGAAGCGAAGTACGTGTCATTAAGTTTGAATAATGTGTTATGACATGAGCTACAGATAAGATAAGAACGAATTTTCCTTTTATCTCTTCAGTTTCTTGTTTATTTCACATGTGTTGTTTGTACTACTTGATATTCATTTACTTGTGTACAGAGCCAGTTTGCATACGCCAGAACACGGCTGCACCTACATACTTACGTAAACACGTACAGATACATTTGCATGTACAAACATTCGTACCTTCAAACATGTGCACCTATAGACATTCGTACCTACCTATTTTTGCAACTATAGACATTCGTGCCTACAAACATTTGTGCCCATAGACATTCGTACTTACAAACATATGCACCTTTAGAAATTCGCCCCTACAAACACTTTCATTTATAGAAATTCCTACCTACAAACATTTGCACCTATAGACATTCGTATCTACAAACATTTGCACCTATAGACATTCGTACCTACAAACATTTGCACCTATAGACTTTCCTATGTGCATACAGTGATGTAGCAAGGTCTGGTGGCACCCGGTGTGGAAAATTTTATGTCACACCCTCACCAATTGTTCCACATATACATATTTAAAAAGAAACCCTGCATATCTTTGCCATTTTGTCACCCCTTAGTGATGACACCCAGGACGTAAGACATCTCTCTTCCTACACCACTGCCTACATACATTTGTACGTACGTATATGCGTACGTACGTACGCGTGTGTGTATGCGCGCTGTATGTGCGTTTGATCTTCAGCTTAAACCTAGATGGACACTAGGGTTGTATTCTAGGATTCATTTGATAATATCCGTTCCATATTAACAAGTCTTTTACTAACTAATAAGTATATTCCTGGGTTTGTCCTGTTTGGTCCCGTTTTAAATATAGTATTTTGCAGTAGCTTTTTAACCTTCTCGTATTTCTGTTTCCATCTACGGTTTCTGTAAGTGTGGAGCGGGAAAGCTCAATTGATTCCCCCTTCTCCGAGGGGAAAAAAAGGGGGGGGGGGTCCAATTGTCTTTAGCGCTTTCAGTCCCAAACAAGGCGAACTATGTACACAATTATTCATGCATTAGTCAACATGTTTTGTTTATCTGTACATCTTAAGTTTAGTCGGGCAAACTAAATTTGTCCGACAAAACAAGTCTCCCACAATATGCTGTATTTGGAACCCGTGGGTGTAGTATACCTATGTTTTTGTTGTCATCATCATATTGCTTCTGTACTGGAAGCAAAGATTAAGGGGACAATTATATTAAAAGAAGGGGAGGAGATACTATAAAGAATAATATAAAAATCTACTCCTTTGTCCTATCTCGACTCCAAACCTACAAGAGCTCCAACAAAGATGCGTCGTGGCCTATGTGAAAGCGCACTCCTCACTCAAGCTTCCTCAGTAACAAGAAAAATAAAGAAAACGAGTTTGTTAGGTCGGGGCTAAAACCAATAGTGTTTTAACCCAGACAGGAAGTTTTCTGCATGAAGTCTAATTAATAGAATTAGTATAACTAAGCACACCAACTACAAGTCATAATCCTAATCAAAACCTATAGAACTGTAATTATCACATTGGACATTGTTGATTTCACTAAACACAAAACTAAGCGCTGCTCACAAATAACAAAACATTAACAACCATCAACATGCAAAGCACTACACTAATACAATGAAATATCTCTGAGCGATGATACACACTGATATATCTCTGCACAGCCTAACTATTAGAGACAAATTCAGATTTAACTATGGAACCATACTACCGCCATAAAGTCAGCCCATCTCTCGTTCTTTTGAGCGTCCAGCATTGGTCAAATCCCTCGACACTTCTCGCTGCATCAATTTCACCAGAATATGATGGTCCGTTACCCCTCTGAATTGTACACGTGCTGCCATAAGGCTTTAACCACGTCTGCCTTATCATGTATCAGTATACCACCAAGTTGTGCAGAGCCAACCAGTTTGTCCGCCTGTTCATCTCTAAACAAATTAGCATGCCCGGGAGAAAAGATCCAGAAAATGTTTTTCACATGTTACCTCGAAGCGAAGCATGCCGTTCTACACGAAGCATGCTCTGGGGTGTCTTCTCCTCTTTTTCAAAAGCGTGAACATTTTATCTGTTTCGAAGATTTTCATTTGTCTTGTTCATGGTTCAAGTCTAGAGTCTGCAGTTTTCATATTTGTTTGTGTGTGTATTTGACTGAATGTGTCAGCCATGGCTTCTACATCTAGACATCGCCAAGAAGTGCTGTAATATTTGCTTTTAATTGTTTCTCCGTGTTTCTGAGCTGCAGTAAATTTATTTAATACATTGCATGTTTTACGGAATTATGCCAAAACTGCGCTGTGTGTTGAACTTCAACTATTCGCCATTTCTTTGTAATGTGTCTCTCTAACAAAAGAAGCATTACTTGTTTTATCCTTCTTGTTTTTAGTTGCTCGGTTGTGCCCTCCTCTCTGTGGGGATCTGGATGAAAGTGGATGGAGATGCTGATCACTTTGTTCAGCGGATGTCAGATCTGGACACCGACAAGGAATATCAGATAAACTACAGGTGAGTTTCTTTTTCTTCCAAAACATTTTATAAGGCGTGTGGGGGGGGGGGGTGCTAGTTAGTCATTATCTTAGTACACTTATTTCCGCAGCGAGGTGCAGTCGTCATTTGAAGGTGACAGGTTCAATTCTCGGCATGATAACTATAGCTTTCCATTTATATGGCGTCTATCATGTCCTTCGAGTAGCAGCTGGCTGAGCCGTTATAACGTCAGGCTTTCATGAGGGGGGGGGGAGGGGTGGAGACGCGGATTTGAACCCAGGTAAGGTGATAGAGTTTTTCTGTCAGGGACAAAATTAAGCATCCTACCCTGTACAGTCTGTGGCGACAGCCCCAGCCAAGCGGCCCTAAATCCTCAGGCTCAAGCCCCTGTCCCTCCAACATTTTGCCTTGTTACCACTTTTATGTCTACACCGCTCTAAAAAGTGGTAAAACAAACAGTTGTGACGGTGTGTCCTAATTTTTCTACTTCTTTCCGTGAGTGCGTATCAATACATTCGTATAATTGTCTACTACCAGTAAGTAACTCGAGAAGCTCAAGTGCCAACCATTTAACATATTTTTAATAAACAAAGCAAACATAAACCCTGAATTCCTTACCTCTTTTCTGTCCTCCTTACCAGAAGTTAGTGGATCAGTTGTCTACCCTTGTTGACTACAGAAAAAAAAAAGTTGGGATCATGTGCACCGAATTTCAGTCACGGGCGACCTACAGGACCCTCTCCCCACACTATTCGGCGCACTGGGCATATATTGCTAGACCTATAATGTTATACCGGTCGGCATTCGGTGGGTAATGTCAACATCACGTCGGTCGCCTTTACTTCCCATGACTTTACCTGATAATATTTAAGGCTGGGTCGACCTGGGAGCCAAGGTCATTTTAAAAAAATTCCAGCTCCATGCAGATTTGAACCCACGGTCTTCGGATTCATAGGCGAGTGCCTAGCCGATACACCACGGTGGCTCACCTAGATGGTTAGTGCGTTGTGTTTAGAATTACGTAGGTAATTAATGGGAGCAGACGAGGACATTTACGGGGGGTGTCTGTATATACAGAACTTAAGGTGAGTCTTGGAATTCAAAAATATAACCCGATTCTAAGTTGACCCGGGGGAAAGGGGGGTTGAGCATGAAAGAACGTGTCAGTAACGTGCCATCATAATACTTGGTATAAACTAAACGTTTTTTTTTCTTCCAGCGCCACGGGAAACAAAGACTTGTCAGTAACCCTGTCATACCTTCTTATTGTGTTTGGAATCATCCTGATCGCAATCACCTTCATTGGTTGCTGCGGAGCTGTGAGGGAGAATATGTGCCTGCTGGGAGCTGTAAGTAACTAACGCACTCTGACTTTGATATCCGGTCACGTGGTGTTCATTTTGTAACAACAACAAAACACAGTGTTGAGTGAAACAATTTGTAACAACCATTAACCTGGCATGGCATGAACCACAATGTCGAGAGTGGGCGTTGGGATAAAATATCTGCCTACTAGCAATTATCATCTGTCTTTTGATTCTTTGTTTCTAGTATCACAACCGATTCTGATTATAATGAAGGCTTGGGATTTTGAACAAAGGATCAACGTTATGGCACACGGGTAGTTAGCCATAAGTGCTCCGTTCTTCTTCTAACTCAAGTTTGAGTCCGAAGAAGCTCAGCACAGTGCACAGGTTCAGTAGCACCTGAAATACTTTAGCTAGATTTTTTAACTCCAAATTTTGCCCGGGCAGGCTGTTAGGCTACTCTTTTTGATTTCCAACTGCAAAGGGATTTTTTACGTGCGCAAAAATGCACACGGGCGTCCGATCTCACTACCCAGGGTGAATTACTAGTAGTCCAAATCCACATGAAAAAAAAATCCCAGCCCTTACCGGGGATTGAACCCAGAACCTCTAGCACTAGAGGCAGACACCATGCCTCGAGACCATGCAGCCCCCCCCCCCCCGATTATAATGAAGAGTTGATGTAGCTGCACTCGGGATAAGACTTGCTGCTCAGTCTCTGTCAGCGAAAGTTAACTAAATGGATGCTGACTGTCCCTGTAGCGCGCAGCTTAGTGTCACCCCGGATTCACCTTTATGTACAACGGTTGCATCTAGGTCCACCTAGACTCCCCATTCCAACAGCTGTCAATGAGAGCATTCATGAAATGTTACACCGGCAAGCAGCCGTTTATTCCTAGTGGTATAATCTCTCTCGCCCCTGTGTTATAAGAAGAAGAAAATACACACTAAGAATAAATAAACCTGCACCCTGCCATACATGCGATAAGCGGCTGCTAAGGGTTTGGGGTAAGGTTGGATATTCTATCCCGTCATGAAATTAGCTGAAAAATCCAAGCAATCGTGAAACAATTCTACTCAGAGCATGAAGTGAGCAACTTAAAGGTCCAGACTCATTGACAAGCAGAAGTACTATATTCTGGTCATACGTCACCAAGGTCCCAATCGATTTCCGCGTATTTTAAGCAAAGTTCTAACATTATGTTTCGACGTTACACGCGTGAAAACACAGACTGAATAATTATAAAGACCCACATGAGACTGCAGACTACTTGGTCACCGTGGAGTGCCCCAATTTCTTCTTCTACTTAGCGCTCACCGGTTGCAAACTCTGGTACCCAGTTCTGGTTGTTCACCCAGTATCAGACTTTGAGTTTTGCATGTACATCCTTTTTACAAATCTGGCTCATTTGTCTTTAGAACTATTGGTTTCTCATCTCTCAGGCAGATGCACTGTGACTCCAAAGGATACACCCTAATTAGTTGCTTTTTACGACATGTGGATCTATTCCCCTCCCCCCTCCCCCATGAGACCCTGTAACCGAGTGTCATAATATAATGGTGTTTACAATTGAAAGGGGTTTCTGGAATTTGCTCCTGATGAATTTTCACCCGAATCCCGAGAACCGCTGGGTATATCCTTCAGAATGCAATCGTGGAAGGGTGGGTGGGGGAGGGGGGGGGGGGGGGCTTAATTAACCCCTCTAAGTATATCATAAACACTCCAGGTCTTGATCTTGATCTTGATGTTGGTAAAAAAAATAAAAAATAAAAACTTCGCGCCTCTTTCAACCGGCTCCTAATATTGAGCAGTGGTTATATCGAGGGCTGTGTTTTTGAGCCTGGGATTCTTTTTTCCAGTTATCGTCTTTTTTGTTGCTGCGAATAATTTGCGCCTGAGGTTTGCTGCTGCTGTCAGAGACAATCCAGGTCCTGCTGGGATTGCAGTTTATAGCGCACCTGTAATGTTCACACACAACTTGTATAGCACAAGAAATTATACGGACGTCAAAATAAATTAAACATCGTAGCATTCAACAAAAAAACCACACAAACGTAGATATCTAACTTCAGCTCGTTTTGCTCCGTGGGCCAGAAATCAGAAGAGCCGCTAACACGGTTACTAATAAACTACAAATATACTTCTGTTGCCTACTCTAAATACATTATGTCATAAATCACAAACGCACAGCTTATGCAGGAACTATACAAATGACAGCTAATCAAAAAGTGAGAAAAAGAAGCTAGATAGAATAGTTATTGAGCAAATGTGATGTTGATATAACAAGAATGCCCTTTCACTGGAAACCCCAGCGAAAAAAAATTAATGGAGGATGACGGGAGAATTACACCAAGAAGAACTATATAAGAGGCACAGATTAATAATGTGGCGGTGAAATACAAAAAGAACATAATTTAACGTTAGCTCGGTAACGTAAAACTTTTTAGACTTCTTCAGCCACTTCATACACGTCATCATACCATGCCTAACCCGCTCTTTTTACAGGAAGAATCTTTAAGACCACTATGGTCACAGGCGAAACATTTTCACAATTTTGAATCTATCCAAACCCAACAACTGTTTTTACTTCTGGCACATTTTAAAAAGAAATTAAAAATGTTAAAACTATAAATGATAGTCTGAAAGGACGTTGTGTAAACCTAGCTCGGTTCCCTACGAGATACGCCTGGCCAAACAAAAAAGGATGCTCCATGTAGAAAACATCAGGACGATAAGGAAAGGGGAGAACACTCTGGCACACTTTTTTAACGGAACGGAATTAAGAGTTATGAAGAAGAAAAAGAAGAAGAAGAAGAAGAAGAAGAAGAAGAAGAAGAAGAAGAAGAAGAAGAAGAAGAAGAAGAAGAAGAAGAAGAAGAAGAAAGAAAAAGAAGAAGAAGAAGAAGAAGAAGAAGAAGAAGAAGAAGAAGAAGAAGAAGAAGAAGAAGAAGAAGAAGAAGAAGAAGAAAAAAGAAAAAGAAGAAGAAGAAAAAGAAGAAGAAAAAGAGGAAGAAAAAGAAGAAGAAGAAGAAAAAGAAGAAGAATAAAAAGAAGAAGAAGGAGGAGGAGGAAGAGGAGAAGATTAATTCTTCTTCTTCTTTGCGTTCACCGGCTGTAAACTCCTGCGGAGAGGTCTAGTTGTTCGCCCAGTTCTGGACTGGAGTCCTTTTCCAGAACCTGGGTGTTGCGCGAGCATCCGTTTGATAGGTCTGGCTAATTTGTATGCAGACTGTGTGTTCCTTGCCTCTCAGGCAGATGCACTCCGACTTCAAAGAAAGTTCCCAATTAGTCGACTCTTACGACATGCTTTTGGGTAGGCAGTGGGTCTATTCTTGTTTCCCCTAAAATAGGGCCCCATGACCCACACGGGTAGAAGATGAATTGTATTTGCGACACTTTTCTTTTGCCACATTTACCTCGAACTCGAAACCTTTGCCTCGGAGTTACTGCCCATCGTTTTATGTTTCGTTTGTAAATCAGCCTTCACTATATCCAGACATACTGATTGTTCTAAATACAATTATAATTGTAGGTGGGTGTGTACCTATGTGGGTGTGCGTGAGTGTGATGTATCTGTGTGTAGAGGGGTGGCAATACTTCCAGGCACAACAGTTATAAGGTTAGGACAGCTTTTGGGATCCCATGTTATTTATTGTCCTGATTATAGTTGCATATGGCTGTATACTTACTACGCTGGTGGAAAAAAAATCATTTCCTGGTTTGTTCTTAGTTTGCCGTATGCCTGTTTGCCCTGATGGTGGCTCTGCTCTGCATTGGTACCTGGGCCTTTATTAGAAAGGATAATTTGAACACCCACACGGTAAGTATATTTTATATATGAAATAAGTCAGTGTAGGAACTTGTTCACACGTTACGGTATATTTGATATTTTATGTGTTTTTCGTTGGCACTGGAGTGGAGCAACTGTGGGGTGACCCGTTTGCTATGAAGCTGAAACGAACATTACCAGATTACCAGATTATCAGATTTGACATATCTTGTTATTCCTTTATTTAAACATAGATCAACATTCAGTAAACAATATTAAACCAATAAAAAGTATGTGGTTTAGGTGTTGCGAACGCGCGTCGTAAATACCGAGGTACCGGGTTCGAACCCAGCTGCGTACTGTTTGTCTCACGTTGGTTTCTACAGTGGTACCGAGAGCTGACCGTTCAATTCGCCTAGAAAAACCACAACAGCCACACACACACAAATGCTAGAGTTGGTTCTGCAACGTCGTGTAAAGGATAAACAACAAATTAGTAAACCTTTATATTCCATAAGATATTCTAGTCCCCATTTGAGGTTAGGAGGATTTTGAATACGTGTAAATTCTTTATAATCATCAATCACTCTGGTGGCAATTGAACACATGATCATCAAGCTGACATTGGTCATTTGCACGATTTTATGTTAACTGAAATTCTATATTTTTTAATATATGTAATTGTACAGCTACAAAAATTAAATAGGATAACACGCTAAACTAGGTGGGGAATATTCTCTGCTTTCACACATTGCCACAGAGGGCAAATGATCAAAGAGAAACAAGGACGCTTTTCCTGAATATTATTTGATACTAAACTATAAATAAAAAACACTGTTGTATCATTGATATAATATAGGATGAACTCAGAAATCAGACAGATGCCAATCTGAACAAGGGGATCAGTTTCTATTATAGAAACGATATTTCCAAGCAGTTCGTTGACAGTGTCCAGAAAAGGGTATGTATTTTGCTTGTCTTAGCCATCAGTCCAGTTTTTGCATTTCTTTTCTCTTGCTGGGTATATGAATAGGTATCTGTGTGTGCGACAGATATAAGTATGTGTGTGTGTGTGTGGGGGGGGGAGGGGGTTGTATATTTGTGTGCATGTTTTCGTTCTTTATTTCATCTTAATTACATGACAGCGTTATGTTAAGAAGTATGCTGCAAGTACTAAGTTGTTTCTTACAGTTTTGGTTTGGTCAGAAGGAACAGTTTGTCCTCAGATCAAGCCAGAAAGTTGTTAAGATATTTATCAAGTACACAGTTTATTACTAATAATTCTTCGGCCAGCCCGCTACTCTTATGGATATCGTTATTTGTCTATAGTTTTGATACATTTCTAGCTTTAAGTTTTCCCTTAGTTTAGCATTTGTTCCTAGATGTTAGCACAGTTTTTGTTGTTGTTATTGTTGTCTAGACTGTACGTCTGTGTACTTTCTGTCTTCTCTCCGCTGTGTTTCCCTCTGTAATCTGTGACAGGAGACTAGGACACCTAAAGAGAAATCCATGTGTTCCAGAAGACATCCTTCACAAAATCAGACAACATACTACCTTACGCTTTCCTTAAGCAGAACTAAAATGGCATGAGATAAGATGTGATGGCAATCTGACTTTCATGGGAATCGAAATTAAGAACTGTCCCGCGTCAGCCTTACTTTGTCGTCTTGGCTCCACGTGATAGAATTATATATGTTTGGGCACTGTTTTAGGTATGATAGGGTTGCAGCAGAAACATGATGAAGAGTGTGACCACGGTGAAGGTGTGTAACAGTCTATATCTTGCCTTGCCCTATGCTCTTCGAGTGCATTGTGGATAGTCAGCTATTTACTGTTGACGTAATATGGATTCTGACTCGTGTTCATTTGTCCCGGGTACTGTAAGTAATGTTTTTCCACCATCATATTTACTGACTAAAATTCACGATCATAGATGGGACTGAAATGTACTCCACAGTTCCGTTGTTGTGGTTCTGACGAGGCTAGGAGAGACTACAAGGGTCGTGTGCCTGAAACATGTGAACCAAATACTTACTCAAGGGTATGTATATTATACAATGATTAGATGTTTATTACCAATATGACACGGTCATAATATCAACCAGAATACATACATACGTTTGCGTAAGCCAACTGAGAAATGTGAATTTCCAACCATGGTCAGACTACAAGAACAACATGTTAAAGGGGGTGTCGCTAAACAAGAACACGAAGCGGGTAGTCAAAGAAAAAGAATAAACCAACACAGAACTGGTGTCGTTAGCCACTACACGCTGCGGGATTTACTGGGGAGGGGATCCGAGCACTTATAGACTGAGTGGTTTGACGAGCAATGAGGATAATCTGTCGACTAACTAACATAACTAACATACATCTCGATTACATCCTTTTATTCCCTTTTTTCTACTCTTTATCCCATACGGGAGTCCCGGGAAGTAGAGGCGGCCGGCGTGATGCTGACCACATCACCCATCTTGTGCCGTTGGTCTATAAAATATAGGTCTAGCCCTATACGCCTAATGGCGTGGAAAAGGGTCCTTTACTTTACTTTTTGTTATATCCCATACGGGAACAGAGACATTTATCAAACCGACGTCAAGAAACCCTTCTTGTACTTTTGTCACAATCATCCAGTTTCGTCCTTTTTATGATGACATTTTTTTGTTATTTGAAGCCCCACCCTGGCTTTTGCCAGGGGCCGCAATATAGGCAGGCCATAAAATGGCCAATTGTCTGAACGCGGTTTCTGGGACCTCTCCACGGTGATCCTCATCCACATGGTGGCACTTTATGTCATCGGATGTTTGTCGCTTGTGTGATGTCCTGGTGGGGTAGAAAGTCAGTCAGTCAGTTCTTGTACTTATTCATCCCGGTGTCTGTTTTTCTTCTCCATGTTTGAGGTCTCACTGCCTTGAGTTCTTAAATATCAGTGTTATAATATTTTATTTCGCTAACCACTACTGCCTCCCACACAGATAATAGAAAGACAAAAGCTGCATGTATAAGAGTTGAATGTGAGTAGAAAACGTGGCAGATTTTAAAAAAAAAACGGAAAGGAGATAATATACAGTCCGACAGACAAACGAAGTCTAACTGGAAAGAGAAGGTCAATCACTGAGAAAATGAAGGCGGGTGGTATCTGCAGCAGGAAATTTCAAGAGCTTGGAATGCTGAAGAAGAACTAGAATGAGGATGCGAAGGATTGGGGGGGGGGGGGGGGGGTGGAGGGGACTGAGGGGAGGAAAACAAAAAGAAAGAAGAATAAGCACTTGTGCCATCTTTTCCAGTTATTGCGAATGTCATCACAAAATAAACTACTGGACGTAAATTTGCATAGAAAAACCACACAACAGCCAGGGGCTGTTGTGATTGGTTCTGCAACGTCCTGTAAAGGATACGCAACTAACTATCACAAAATGAGACTGGGGACATTTCTGCCATACATTACTACACACAAGAAGACTTGTTAATCAACATAGAACTGGTACTATTAGCCATCGGACGTTGGAATTCATACTGAGGGGAGGATCTGAGCACCCATGGACATGTCAGGGGTGCAATGATGATAACCCAACTAACTAACTAAGTAACTAACTAACTAATTACTTGCTTCATTTATGTAATTGTTACTGTAGTATGCACCTGACGAGATACAGCGAAATATGCCAGGCAATAAATTATGCAATCTATTGTTTGTGTCTTCTTTGTTCAAATTTACAACGGGGAAACAGTGTTTTAACTAATTACTACCAGATATCCTCATATCGGTTCTGGAGCTCTCCTGTGGAGAGGGGTGGAGCGTGGATAGGGGGACCAATGCCCTCCCAGCAAAAATGTCGTAAGCGGGGACTACTTTGGGGTGTTTCCTCCAAACTTGGAATGCATCTGCCTGAGAGGCGAAAAACAAACTATCTGCACCCAGATAGGCCAGATCTGTAAAACGGGCGAGGGCGCAAAACTAAAGTTCCGCATAAAACTTATGTTTAAAAAAATGAGGACGAACAACCATAACTTTCCGCCAGAGTTTACAGCCGGTGAACGCTAATTAGAAGTGGAGGAGGAGAAGAAGAAGAAGAAGAAGGAAGAAGAAGAAGAAGAAGAAGAAGAAGAAGAAGAAGAAGAAGAAGAAGAAGAAGAAGAAGAAGAAGAAGAAGAAGAAGAAGAAGAAGAAGAAGAAGAAGAAGAAGAAGAAGAAGAAGAAGAAGAAGAAGAAGAAGAAGAAGAAAAAGAAGAAGAAGGAGAATAATAAGAAGAAGAAGATGAAGAAGAAGGAGGAGGAAGAGGAGGGGGTAAAGGCGACAGCACAATATTGCTACCAAAGATCGGAGAAGGTAAAAACAACACAAGATGGCTACCAAAGATTTGGGAAAGTGGATAGTCAGCTACTGGGTGCAGGGAATCAAGAAACTTAAGATGAATCTTTCTTGACATTATTTTAAAATGCTAATTTATTTCTGCCTTTCAATGTACCACCATTAGGGTTGCAACTACTACTACTTTTGGTACATTGCAAATGAGGTCAAAGAATTTCTCAAGAAGCGCTACACAGTCATCGGTGCCCTTTCTATTGGTGTAGCCTTGTGTATGGTAAGGAGAAAACTAGTATATAATTATGATACACGGTACTATTTGTTTGGTTTTCCCTCCTTTTTCGTTATCTCTACTAATGTTTATCAGATCAGAATTCAAATTCAAATTCTCTTTCGTTGACCACTTTCAGCTAGGTCCGCTCACATTTCTGCTCACTTTTCTTTAAGCTATATTTGTGGTGACGTTTTCTGGTCTCGATCTCATTTGGTTTTGGATTGTGTTCATATCAGATCAGAAGGCCACAGATCTTTATAAAGGCTGTGTTGCGACACACGTCATTAGCGGATTTATACAGCTTTGTTTCTGCCGGAATATTAACTGTGTCAGAATTGGGTTATCCCTTCGCTTGTAGAGAACTGTTCGTTTTAAAACCATATACAAGGTTGCTTGAAAAAAATTGTTTTTTTCTGTTAAGTCACCACATCACGCGAGATTTAGGCACATCCCTTTGTATGGAGGCAGGGTAGTTAGGGTGGAGGTGGAGTAGTAGTCGCTATTCATTTAACACTAGCCCTAACCCTAATATCCCTTTGCTATGAGATTAACCTAAATCTCGCGTGATGTGATGACAACCGAAAAGAACCGACAAAATTCCCGGATTTCGTGTACTGTGTAGAAATAAGTAACAATGCAATTATTTTCACAATAACTCTTTCAAAAGAAATTTCTTCCACAACTCCACCCTTTCGCCAACGTACATACAGTTGTTGGAAACATTTCACTTCTTTCAGCTGTTTTGTTGTATTGGCGGATAACATCCTCAGCATCATTGAGGCGGTGTCTTTTCAGTGTTGATTTTTAGGTGAGGGAACAAGAAACAAAATCAGCCAGTGCCAGGTCGAGAAAATATTAAGGATGTTCCAGTGCAGTCACGTTATGCGTAGAGAGATACTACTTAACATCGGTAAAGATGGATGTGATGGCGTATTTCACGCAGCAGAAACCAACTGTTTAATATTGAATTACCAATCGACATCACAGCTCTCGGGACACTCCCGTAAGCGCTCAGTCCCCCATTTTCAGCAGCAAGCGACGAATTAAAATTCCGACGGTACCAGTAACTTTCTGATTGTATATTCGTCTCGCCTTTCCCCTGAGTGTTGAGCTTCGGCCAGATCCCCTTGTAACTCCTCGCAGTGCCTTCTCCTCAGACCGTAATGATCTATATGTGCTCGGCTAACTCGCTCCCAAAGGGCCCTCACGACATCCAGCTTGTCATACATCAGTTCACCACCAAGTGGTGCAGAACCAGCCGGTCTATATGCCTGCTCAATTCCCAACACACCGGAATAACGTGAAGAAAACATTCAAAAAATGCTAACTTGCCGGGACCTTTAGAGTGATGCTTGCAACCAAATGTTTGCTCTCCATTTTTCATAGCATTTCCTTCTTATAGTGTTTCTTAGGAAACGAAAGATATCGTCGTACATCTCCTAGTTATAACTTTGCCTATGCTCTTATCCACAAATATTTCTGTGTCCGTTGAGATAAGGGTGCTTTCTATTCATACGACTGACGTTTCGTCACAGGGTCATACAAGAAACACCACCTCTCGTATTCTGTGATAGTGTTGCCGATAAAATTGCTGTCTAAGCCAGTCACAGTGATTAGGTTTCCCGCCTGTTTATTCTTCGCAATCAAAACACATAATTTGACATCTTCGCTTTGCTCAACAAATTATTTCGTCAAACTCCGACGATGAAACTCTCTCACAGGACATAAACTTCTGTCATTTGTGTTCCAGAGGTTTGAGGTTTTAACAACGGATCAACATCTTGGCATACGGGTGTAACCCGTAAGGGCTCCGTTATTTTTCTAACTCAATTCAGAGTCCGAAGATGCTCAGCACAGTGCACAGGCTCTGTAGCACCGGCGAGGATCCTGAAATACTACGGGTATATTTTAAACTCTAAATATTGCCCAAGCAGCGCCGTTAGGTTACTCTTTTCAATTTGCAACTGCCAAGAGATTTTTTTACGTGCGAAATAATACACACGGGTGTCCGATCTCACTACCCAGTGACCAAGGGAAATTACTAAAAGTCCAAGTCCACGTTAAAAAAATCCCAACCGTTACCGGGGATTGAACCCAGAACCTCTAGCACTCGATGCGGACACCATGTCTCAAGACCATGCAGCTCCCTCTTTTTGTGTTCCAGAATAAATGTGAAGTTCACGACTGCCATGTCCATTTGTCGATGTCATTATCAACTACTCTCTGTGTGGGTTCCGAGGCCCTATTGTAGGGAAGAGACAACTGAAATACTTCGGCCACATTTGAATGAAAGCACATATTTGAAAATCACATTGGAGGGAAAAGTCAAAGGCAAGAAAGCAAGAGTTGGGCAACGACACGAGTGGGAGGACAACATCAAAAGATGAATGGGCAGTTGTCTGAGAGAGTGTTCAACTAGGATAAGAGACAGAGCGTGTTGGAGATCCATTGCAGCCAACCTTCAATGTGGAAGACGGCACCTGATTGATTGATTATAGGGAAAACAAGACTAGACTCACTGCCTCCCCAACAAACATGACGTAAGAGTCGACTGAATTTGAGTTTACTTTGAAGTCGGAGTGCATCTGCCTGATAGGCAAGGAACCAACAGTCTGCACATAAATAAGTCAGATATGTAAAATTGATGTGCAGGCAACACTCAAGTTCTGGAACAAGTCCAAAGTCCAGAAGTGGATGAACAACCAGAACTTTACGCCGGAGTTTACAGCCGGCGAACGCGAAGAAGAAAGAGAAGAAGAAGTCTGTCAACTTATAAAACTATGAATCTTCATGTTAAATTTCTAATTCAAACAGGAGTTGGCTATTCTAGAAACTTTTTGAAGCTTTCTCAATTATACTTAGGACACTTTAAGAAATGGCTCTAGGAGAAAACTTGCCTGCCAGAACAGTAGCCTGGTTTAAATTTCCAAAAGTGGCTAGCTTTTCCCCGCTTTGGGGTGGACTCAGCTTCATTAAAGTGTAAAAGAAAAGTGAAGGACATAGTGATGCATCGGGCATATAACGTTACAGACGTATTTCTGTAGAACAATTAATTATGAAAGTTTGATTTTCGGCCAGATCCTATAGCCACTTCTGGTTACGCCAATCTCTCTAGACGGTAACGATCTATTTTAAAGTTGTGCGCCTTACAGGTGTTTACTTATCTGCTCGTATCGTTTCATCATCAGCGGTGCACAACCAGGCAATCTGTATTTCTGTTCGTTTCCCAGCACACCGGCATCACTTAGAGAACAGATTCAAAGGGTGCTCACTAGCTATGATTGGTTATAGTAACGATGAGCGGCCCAAATAATGCGTAATTGAACTTTCATTTATGCTTGCTAACCTTTCACAGGCGCTAGTCTAAGCTAGAGGGGAGTCACGTTGTGTTCTGTTATGTATGTATTTGGCATCCTGTGATCGGCCAGGAACACGGTTTTTTTTTTTTTCTTTCTCTCTCATGGTCTGGGTGACATTGCCTATATTCTAGCCTTCTCAGACTTCAAGTACGACATTAATTTACTTCAGGTGTAACCTCAGGACGTAGGCTGCAGTATCTCGTGGCACGTAGGCTGTGTGGTGGGGTGTGCCGAGTTGATTAGGGCCAGTTCTAGATCTTCTGGGGTGGTTTAAAGCGGTCACATCACGTAATATAGAGCACGCGTCATCGTCGGTGACAGCATCCTAGACAATACAACCTGACACCCCTCTAACTTAGACTAGCGCGTGTGAATGCTCAGCAAACATGAATCAACGACCAGTACGCCCTATCTGGGCCGGAAATCGTTACTAGAACCCCACGAGGTTAAAGTAACTTTAGTATCCCCCACGCCCGCCCATATACACACTAGCTCGCTTCTGATTGGTAGTTCCTGAACCTGTACCTTTGGCACAAGGTTACGGGGGTGTTCCGCAGTACCGTTGATATCGCGTGTTGTATATTTCAGCAAGCCAGCGCTTTCAACACTCCAAAAACATGGAGAAACTGGCTCTAACACAACCCCCCTAGAGAGTGCTGCAACCTTTTTCACAGGCATTCTCTTTCTCGGAATGAAAACGTAAATGCAAGACAACGCAGAAAGCAAACAACAGAGCGGGACACATCAGTGACCTTCATGAAAGTCGACCAGCCCAACAAACTTGTGAATAGGAAGTGACCTACTTTGTGTGCGGAGATTTACGTGAACCTAACTCCCCACGATCTACAAAGCATCACATGCTAGGCGTCTAAAAGAGGTTAAATAATAACGGTATTTGACCTTAGAAATTAACGAAACAAATGAGATGGCCGGTTTATGTAATACCCACGTTATGAGTTCTCAAAATAATACTATACTAATATACTTTTATTATATTACGATATAATAATATACTTTTCGTTCGGTTTTATATCTTTTCTTGAGCTCTCAAAAGCACGCCATGCTATACCAATGTGATGAGATGATAGATTTAAGTTGTTGAATTACATGTGTTTGCCGTCTTCACGCTGAAGGTTGGCCACTGGATCAGGGGTATCAATACTGGATCCCCCCCCCCCCCCACCCCTGTGTTTTTATTTGACGCTCTGGGTTCAGATTTTGGAATCTTGATTTTTTTTTTTTTTTGTTTTAATCTATTTTTTTAAAAAGTGAGTAAATGTTTTGTTTTGTAACTATAAAATGTGTACTCTTTATCATTCTTGAGGTTTTGTTGTGTGTGTTCTTTGCTGTGTTTTCAGCTTAGATTGGGTTTCGATAAAAAGTCCAGTGGCAGCCATGTACTGTACACCACCTGCTATCATTGAATACAACACAGTGGGGCTAACGTTATTTAGTATTCAGACTCTCGTATTATTGCCCGAAGACCATGAAAGGAAATGAAACCAAACTAAAAGTATATCAGCGAGCTTTATAATATTTAAAAAAAAAACTTGAACGTTGCAGCTATGGAGCCTTCTTCAGCACATTCACAGATTAGACAATACTACACAAACACACAATATCACTTATCTTTGTGTCTTGTGGCAGCCAGGTCGATGTCAAGACAATAGTCTGGCGAGGCACATGGGGCAAAACATTACACCCGTAATGGTAAACAACAGAGCACAGAACAGACGAATGTGACAGGCACAAACAGATTTAAGCAATTCTAGGTGTGCGGGACACACTAGGTTTGTGAAATTAATTAACTGCTGTGAAGCTATAAAACTTTCAGGGAAAAACTGAACGAAAAGTATATCAGCAAGCTTCACAATACCACAAACACGAACAAAACTTGAACGTTGCAGCTATGGAGCCTTCTTCAGCACATTCACAGATTAGACAATACTACACAAACACACAATATCACTAATCTTCGTATCTCGTGGCAGCCAGGTCGATGTCAAGACAATAGTCTGGCGAGGCACATACCACAGAGCAAAAAATTACACCCATAATGGTAAACAGTAGAGCAAACTATAGACGAGTGTGACAGGCACGAAAGCGGGTGTGTGTCTGTGTGAGTGTTTTTCAAATTAAACGTCTGTCACAAAAATCAAACATTTATATTTAAGGATCCAGAAATTTTTTTAACAGCCCATTTAGCTAGTTTCTTCATCTTGTCAATGTCATAATTATATTATTAATAAACTGTACTGCATATCTCTATTAAAAGAATGTCATGTCTCTTTCTGCAGGTTTTGGGTATTGCCTGCAGTATTCTTCTGTGCATCCTCATTAGACGAGACACAAGACTGGTGGTAACCTGACCTGTGTGTGCTAACTGAAGTTGCCTCAACAAATTAGCAATTTATTCCAATTTTAGCTCCTGCAACCATTTTTCTACACATGTTAAGGCCACCTGAAGAAGTATTTCGCACACACAACATAATCACCTACCTGAAAAATGGCAGTGCAAATAGTTCTCGTCTGGTTTCACAAGTTTCTTTAAGAACATAAATTGACAAATGGCAAAGTTCATTTTAATTATGAAAACCATCTTAGAACTAATATTTGTTTAAATAATTTGGACACAAACAAAACATTCTACAATGTATTTCCTCGCAAATCTCACTATATCTCATCAGATGCAATACTACAGAGTTAAATAAATATATAATGAAGCTGAAATACATAAAATGTATTGTCAAGTCAGGCTGTAATCTCTCAACCAGAAATTTAAGATCAGCCTAGTGATTATCATGGTAACTTCAAATTTATCACGTACTCCTTTAGCTTACATAAAACACAGGAGTTAAGTTTTACTGACATGACCTCAGCCAGCTTTAGCAAATGTTTATTCAGTCTGTGAGAAAAAAAATGTCTTATTGTTTAAATGCTTTGAACTGTTTGTGTCCAAATAATATAAATTTACAATGAGAAAACATTGTTTTGAACTTATATTTGTGTCAACAAAATAATACAAAAAAAAAAAAAAAAAAAAACTTTTCCTACATCACCTACAGTAACATCTTGTCTCTAAGCTAAGAATGATTATTGCTGTTCAGCCATAGTTCACAAGAAGCATGCTTCACTTTTGTGTAAGCTTTTCAAAAAGAATTTCAAGTGAATTCTCTGGTAGATCTGTTGGTCTTACTATAGACTTTTACAGAACAGTGAAATAAAACTTTTATCTGTTTACTCTTCTTTCTGTCTTTCAAGCAATAAATAATCTTATGGTTTTAACTGGTGCGACTCAGTTGTAATTACATTATTTATTTTGTAATTTAGTTAACCAATTATTTTTCTACACAAAATCTGAATACATTGGAAGGCTGTATAGAATGTAATATTTACCCTTTTTTGCCATTCTTTAATATACAAATATATATCATCATATTTTAAATGCTGTCATAGATTAGATATTGTCTGTAATACCCATTCTCTCAGCATAAAGCATGTTTAGGGAGGAAAGGAAAAATGGGTAGGAGGGTTAATTGTTTTTTTTTTCTATTTCGACATAATGTTTACTAGTTTTATTTTTTTTAATTTTACATCTTGCTGTTCATCCTTTTTCTTTACTCTCAGTAACTGTTTCTCCCCGTCAAAAAGGTAACAGAGAATACACATCCTGGCCATTCTAATTCTGTCACAGTTAAACCTGTCATGGTTAGCTTGCTTGCTTCTCTGTTAAACGCTAAATGGGTTCTTGAAACAGCAATGTTTAGCCTCGACGTTCAACCCTGAAGACAAGAAAACCATGGCATATGGTCTGGGGATGCCGTGAGCAAGTGTGGATATTTTTCATAGCCAGTAGTAAACTATAAACTATATTGTCTCAGATATTTTTTTTTTCATTTTTATGGTAAGCATTTCTTTATAGGCAGTTTGTGAAAAAATATTCTTGTTCTTGCAATATTCAGCTTTTCCAAAAAAATAATAAACATATATATATATATATATAAATTTAAAATAATTTCCAAAGCTCTCTTGCTAAAAATAATGTTAGCCAAATGGCAAAATAATACTCCACAAGAAAGCTTCAGACAAAAAAGTAGTTCACCACAGAAGTCATGGACATGAAAGAAAAATTTGTTTAAAGACCACTGTCTTAAAACAAACTACTTTACAGCTGTTATAGAAAAGAATCAAGTAATGGGGCAACTATCTCCCCTGATGACACACAAGCAGATAGCTCGGAGTACTAAAGTGAATCTTATCAGAACTATTTTTTGGCCAACACTATGCTATCAATGCCAAACGTGGATCCGTACATCCTCCAATGAATGTAAAATTGTGACAACAGAGATGAAATGCCTTAGAAGAGCTGCAGGAGTTTCAAGGAAAGACAGAATATGAATTCACGAAATCAGACAAATGCTAGGAATAAAGTTTTACAGGTCATCAAAGAACAAAAAAATGAAGTGGTCTGGACACCTAACAAGAATGCCCTGGTACTATCTGCCACAGCGAGCCACACTAAAAGGTTACAGCGGGTATAGAGCGAGTGGAATACCTCGGAAAATATGATGGCATTAAGCCTTACAGAAATGAACATCAGACTTAATAGTGCTCTTGACAGAGCTCATCAACAAACATTACATCTCCCCCCCCCTCCCCCCCCCCCCGACACTTTGATGAGGTACATGGTGGAAGAGAAGAAGAAGAAGAAGATGGAAATAATCCAAAGTTAGAGGATCACATATACAAAGTAAAGGCAACTTGGATTTACTCAGTTGTAGATATAAAATCAAAATGCACAAGAATAATCATGAAAAGTAAAACACTGCATAGCATTAAGAAGAAGGTAGGAGAACAGGATATGAATACTTTAGTGGTTTTTCAGTAGCTTGAAGCACAAGAATAAAGATAGAAAGACCCGGTATTTAAAAATAATCAAAGACTCTTTGTCCCAATTAAAACAGGATGTTGAAACAAACATTGTTGTGATTTTTAAAAAAAACTTTATTTTCTAATGCGTGGAAGTGTTCTCTTTCATTCAATTTTGCATGCACAAGACTAAATTAAGAGTTCTTTTCTTCTTTATCATTTCAAAACAGGATGTGGGATTCTTTTGGCCAATTTTCATACTCTTTCTTATTTTGCCCATGGAAAATACTGCTACATTTCCTTCCATTATACCAATGTAGTCTGGGTCACCCAACTTTCCCACTGTTTTGTTGAGTGATGAGATCATGAAATGAACATCTGGTGACCAGTTTTCAGCTTGTCTCTTGAGTGATGAGATTATGAAATGAACATCTGGTGACCAGTTCTCAGCTTGTCTCTTGAGTGATGAGATCGTGAAATGAACATCTGGTGACCAGTTTTCAGCTTGTCTCTTGAGTGATGAGATCATGAAATGAACATCTGGTGACCAGTTTTCAGCTTGTCTCTTGAGTGATGAGATCATGAAATGAACGTCTGGTGACCAGTTTTCAGCTTGTCTCTTGAGTGATGAGATTATGAAATGAACATCTGGTGACCAGTTTTCAGCTTGTCTCTTGAGTGATGAGATCGTGAAATGAACATCTGGTGACCAGTTTTCAGCTTGTCTCTTGAGTGATGAGATCATGAAATGAACATCTGGTGACCAGTTTTCAGCTTGTCTCTTGAGTGTTGAGATCATGAAATGAACATCTGGTGACCAGTTTTCAGCTTGTCTCTTGAGTGATGAGATAATGAAATGAACATCTGATAACCAGTTTTCAGCTTGTCTCTGCTGTGATCAAGTTGAGTGAAACCTTTCTATCAGCATAGCATCATTTTTTTTTTCTGGGAGAATTACATTCTCCTGCAGTTGTGACTTGTAATGATACCTCAACATTTTAACCAACTTTTAGCTTCAGGTAATATCTAATTAATCAGCTCTTTCTGTCAACTGTTTGTCATTTTAATTACTGAAAGAAGTACACTTATGTGTGTGGCACCACAGCTAGGTACATCTCATATGTGTATGAAATGTAGTATTCATCAGGTATGAACATGTTCTGTAGCTAGTATCTCATTTGTGGGTTATAGCAGTCTGACTTTGAAGTGGAATTACAACTCCTTATGACTAGGTAGTGCTCATACTGTATGTACAGTTTGCAGGCAGTCAATCTTAGGTAGGTTTGATTGGCATATGACAATGAAACGCTGATTCCATCTCTTGCTGGCAAAATTGAATGACTCCGATCGGGGGCATTTTCTTATGGCAGTGACAATCAGTTAGATTTGAGCCATTTTTCTGAGATGTTCCACTGGTTGTTAGGGTTGTTCTATAGCTGGTATGGAGCTCTCAGCAGCAACACCAGCCTTTCTTAGTGTATGTGCTCTTGCTTGTCCTTCCACACCCAGCTGTTTTAGCACAATGTATGAATAGTTCTGGAAAGAAAGATTCTTTGAAAAATAAAATCTATTTTTAATTTAAACTGTACTGCTACCTCGCTCTAAACTAGAGACTGGATCGAAGTATTTTGTAATCCAAAGTGTCACGCCTCAGTTCTCAATCTACGAGGTCAACTGCTTCTGGCTAGCCCACATGTTGCTGAATGGGCCTCTATATTGTAGTCTTCTCTGTAGGTTTGATGCCTTTCAAAGTTGACTGTGCTAATCAGAATATAGAGTATGTTACCTACAGTGTCTGCACAGCCCTGAGAACACGGCTAGTTTCTCCTTCACTTAGATCACATTCAAAGACCTTGTGATGCCATACATACTGGCCTTCTCTTAATGGCACTGTGTGTGGCTCTGTGACTTAAAGATTAGTGAAACTGTTTCTGAATGCAATACTCATGTTTGCAGGGTTCAATTCCCATGGTAGGCGATTTAGAAAAAAGACTGCTCCCATGGCTTCAGACAGATGTATAAGAGTCTCACCATGGAAGAGATTAGCACTCACCATCTAATACTCACTCAGTCAGCAGTAAATACATTGCAGCCTACATCCATTGTAGAGACTGCACAATTAATAAAAATAATGGGACAAAGAAAGGCAGCAAGTGATTTTGAAGGGGGGGGGGGGTGGGGGGGGGGGGGAACATGCATAAAGATACGGAATAACACCAAACACATGAACAGATACAGGCTGCTAAGGGATAGGAGATATTAAGTTGCATGATTGCCCAAACTTGTTAGTAAAACACTTATTGATGAGAACAACAAAACTGAATAGTATTTTATTTAGTTACTTATTATTTTCAATTCTGCACACATCAATGGGTGTTGACTAGTTTGCAAATAAAATAACTAGTTGTTGCTTTTATTTTATGTGTGAAGTTTGCTACTAGTGTTGTGAATTTCTAGTGTAAATCCTAATATATACCAGATATTGGATTTTGAGGCTTTCCTTTTATATTTTGCAATAAACTTTATTAAAATGTAAGTTGACATTAATCTGTGTATCAGTGTAACATGTTTTTACAATGTTTTAAGTGTCACTTTACAAATGTGAACATTCTGAAGAATATTACAGTCATCTAGAGCAACGGTTCTCAACACCTTTGGGTGTTCAACGACCCTTTCACAGGGGATGCCTAAGACACTGGAAAACAAAAATTCACTGAATTTATGATGTAGCAACGAAAGTAATTTTATGGTTGGGGGTCACCACAACATGAGGAATTGTATTAAAGGGTCGCAGCATTAGGTAGGTTGAGAACAACTGATCTAGAGTGTCAGTGTTATCACTGAGGCAAAACTTCTGTGTCCTTCGACGGGAAGAAAAAATACACCTCGGTTCATTTCTGGGTGGTGAAGGACACAGAAGACTCATTTCAGAAATGAACCGAGGTGTATTTTTTCTTCCCGTCAGACAAAAGGCAGTCTGATGTCATGGTAATAAGTTAGAAAAAGACTCTTTCCCTACCAACACATAGGGCTAGACCGGTATTTTTATAGACCAGCTGGACCTCAATGAATGAAGTGGTTAAAATCTTGCTGGCCACTTTTACCTCCTATATGAAAGCGAATGAAAGAAGAACTTCCTATATGATCCATGGATTAGCAACAGGACAACAAACTCATATACATACAACATTATTCAGGCTGTCTGGAGTAAAAAGGCATTATTTAAATAAATGTTTTAGGTCTGGTTAAGACCACAGCTGAATTCAGTCAAACTCCTTGAGTTTCTTAATGGCCAATGAACAATGCAAGGAAAACCGCATACAAATATTCCTAATGAAAAAGGCAGCGAGAAAATTGTGAATTATGTATTTAAAGATTCTGCCCCGTGAAGCCTGAGTCACTTCCGGTTGTGCCACAGCCCTGTAGATGCTGATATATGTCGATGTCTGCAGTGGCCTGTTCTCGAAAATTTTAGTTAAATTCCTTTGTTCCTATATGCATCCAGCCTGTCTTTAATAAACTAGGATATGAATACAATAACTAAAAATAACATTTAGAGGAGTTTCCTTATGACCCAAATACTTTTTGAAAGCCCAGTTGTCAAATGTTCCCATAAGCCTCAGTGGTAGAGGTCACGGTATGAGTCAACTGATTAATCAGTCACAGGCCATCTCCATAATGAAGGTTGACAGCAATCGTTCTCCAACACACTGTCTTCTTGTCTTGGTTGTACACTCTCTCAGATTGCTGTTCGTCCATTGTTTGATGTTGTCCTACCACTTGTAAAATTTTCTACCTCTTGCACTCAATCTTTCTCTCCAGTATGGTTTTTAAAAGCGTATTATGTCTTTTAATGTGGCCAAACTATTTTAACTGTCTCTTTTTTTTATTTATTTCAATAATTCGCAGTCTTCCCTGAACCTCTCTATATTTGACTGTTTCTTTCAGTTTTCACAAATTACAATCTATTCTTCTGCATAGCCACATTTCCCCAGACTCATTTCAATTTTCTAGTTGCCTGTTCGTTGTCCAAGTTTCGGCACCATACAGGAGGGTTTAGTATGCATAACACTTGACGAGTCTCAGTATTAATGTGTTGTTTATCTCTCTAAATGTCAATAATTTTCCTATCTCATTGAAGACAGTTTCAGCCATTCCAATTCTCTTTTTGATTTCTGTTTCACTTCTGCAATCATTTGTACTACCTATCTGAGACCGCAGATACTTGCTATTGGTTTAATAGTCACCCGAACTATGGGGAAAGGGGGGGGGGGGGGGGTGTTTAATGAAAATGTAGATATTTTTTAATACACCTTATTAGTGATCTGTGCAATGTGGTATTTTTCTTTTTTTTTAAGGATTGTTTTCAGGAAACTCCTAGAGGTTCAAGGTCCTTTTTTTTTCATGAGATTTAGGTTGAGGGAAAAAAAACTATGAACAATACTAGAAAAAAGTTAACAATGACTATCACAGTAACCAAGGAGATGATATCAGAGCAAGTAACTTTCCCCTAATTTGGGCAGGTAATAACTGACGATGGTAGATATGAAATAGAAACCAGAAAGATAATAGGAATGATTAACAATATTCTCAAAAACATTAAAAAACACATTAACATCAATAAACATTTCTACCATGTGGGTTCAGAGCCCCATTTTGACAGAAAAAGAACTGACCCACTACCCCAACTCTGCAACTGGTATGTTCTTATGGTGAGTATCTTCTGCATCTTGCTAAAAGCCATTCGTATCATGGCAATTCAGTGCTTCATTAATATCCTACCCCAGATGACGTCACAGGACAGTCCACCATTTTAGAGGGTGGTTAGACTGGGTTTCCCGGCTTTCTGATGCTTTTAACAACCCTAGAACTTCTAGAAATGGCCCTTACCCCAACCCACCTACATCCCACGAGAGAGTGCAGCCTAGGTCCCATGACTGCATGCAGCCTATATACCACCTCCTGAAATATTTTTCTGTCCCGTGACCTGTGGATTTTCCCTGTCTGGGGTAGGATATTAATAAAGCACCAGTGATTCTTTTAATAATCTCTGCAAGGTTCCTTGTGTCAGATGCTAGACCTGTTCCATCCCACGAATAATTTCACACAAAACTCTCTCTTCTATATAAACATTCTGATTATCATAACAGAAAACAAAGCAGACAAGCCAGGCACAAAGTCAAGTTTATTATCTGATTTCAAATATGGCATTATATTCTATATGTACAAAGTGTACATGACAATCAACAGCAAACAAGATATAAAAAAATCTGGACACAATCTTGAGAGAGAGAGAAAAAAGTTTTTTCAGTCTTAGCACTTATGCACCTAAGAAAAGAACAAACAATCCAGAAAAGTACCATTCATCTCAATATCAATCACTCAGAAGCCATACTTTGATTGAGTCTGCTTTTTAGTCATTCTATTCTGTGCCCATGTATTTTTCAGCTCCAGTTCACGCTCTTTAGCCTGCAATAGAGTAAAACAAAACAATTATGTATGAAGTTGGGGATAGGGGGGGGGGGGAAGGGGGGAGAGAAACTAAAAGTACAGGAACTGTACCACCGCTGGTATTTCTTCTTCTTCTTCCGCATTCGCCCTTAAAATTACTTTTTTTCTTCTTTGCAGCAAGACTGCACATTTCTACCTTATCAATTGCATTTTATGATGTGCTTGTTGGGGTGGGGAAGGACCACAGTGGGTCTTGGCTGTACACCACAGAACACTCTAGGGTAAAAGAAAATAAAAGAGCTGACAAACTGGCTGTGCCTGCAGTGGTAAGGGGAGGCAGAGTAAGAAGTATAGACAAGGCAGGCATAATGCATGCGCTGCATTCCAGAGATGCTGAAACAAAGAAGTCAGAGAAGATGAACCGCCTGTTGGAAATGTGTTTTAAACTTGCATAAGCAAGCAAAAAGCTGCGGCGGGGCAAAGAAAAAAGATATGCCATTCAACTCCTACTGGTATGATGAGCATGGAGACATTGAGATGACTGCTGCACTGGAGTAGAGAGCACAAACGGTTTGCACTGAAATGCTGGGATGTCGATACAGACAACAAGTAACAAAATAAAGCCAACACATGACAGATAAAGTTAGTGGGCAATGAAATGTTTGGTCTTCACATAGTCTAGGCTACATAATAATTAGGACTGGTGGCCAGTAAATTTTCTTGAAATCTTTCTTTCTTTAAATAAAAAAAAAAATATTTAAAACATTTGTGGTTTTCAGATGACGGTATGAGAGTTGCACCATGAAATCACCCCATATTACCAAAGATCCCTATGTGGGTTCAGGGGCCTCAATTTGGGAAAAACAAGAGCATACCCACTGCCTCCCCATATGTTGTAACAGTAGACTAATTAGGATTTCCTTCGAAGTCTAAGTGTTCCTTACCCGAGAGGCAAGGAACCAAAAGTCTGCATACAAATAAGTCAGATCTGTAAAACGGATGTGTCCGCAACACTCAGGTTCTGGAAGAATTCTGAAGTCCAGAGGTGGATGAAGAACCAAAACTTTCCGCTGGAGTTTACAGCCGGTGAACGCTAAGAAGAAGATTACCAAATACTTTAGTGAGTGCACATTTGCCAATTTTTACTGCAAAGACGGCATATTATTTTAATGGGAAACAGAAAGTTTAGTTTTAATCCTGGATGAATGATGGAAAATAAAGTGATAAAAACTTCTTCTTCTAAACAATTTTTTTTTAAATCCAGGTTTTTGTGTGTCCACTTCTGGGCTAGAACCTGAGTTTTGCGGCAACATCAGTTTTAAAGATCTGACTTATTAAATGATAAAGAACTTTCCTGTTAAACAAGAACATACCTGGTAAACAAGGACCAACAAATGGTAAAGAATAAACCTGGTAAGTAAGACCTAACAAATGGTTGAGAACATACCTGGTAAACAAGAACATACCTGGTAAGCAAGAACATACCTGGTAAGCAAGACCTAACAAATGGTCAAGAACATACCTGATAAGCAAGACCTAACAAATGTCAAGAACATAACTGATAAGCAAGACCTAACAAATGGTCAAGAACATAACTGATAAGCAAGACCTAACAAATGGTCAAGAGCATACCTGATAAGCAAGACCTAACAAATGGTCAAGAACATACCTGATAAGCAAGACCTAACAAATGGTCAAGAACATACCTGATAAGCAAGACCTAACAAATGGTCAAGAACATACCTGGTAAGCAAGACCTAACAAATGATCAAGAACATACCTGGTAAGCAAGACCTAACAAATGGTCAAGAACATACCTGATAAGCAAGACCTAACAAATTGCCAAAAACATACCTGATAAGCAAGACCTAACAAATGGTCAAGAACATACCTGGTAAGCAAGACTTAACAAATAGTCAAGAACATACCTGGTAAGCAAGACCTAACAAATGGTCAAGAACATACCTGGTAAGCAAGACTTAACAAATAGTCAAGAACATACCTGGTAAGCAAGACTTAACAAATAGTCAAGAACATACCTGATAAGCAAGATAAGTGATCTGTTTCTTGCGTCTCTGCTGGGCAGTGGGCAGATTATCCTTATTTCTTTGGGACACATACTCTGTTTCTTCAGTCAAGTGCTTGGTCACTTCTGACGGATCAACAAAATCATCAACATTCGCATCCACAAAATCAACTGCTTCCTCGAAACGTTTCCTTTTGCCTTGAAGTTTCTGAAACTGAACACACACAGATGTCTGAAGCATTAATTCACACAAGGAAGAGCTGAGATGAGTTTTTATAGATGAATGGTTAGAACACTGTGGTCAGATGACAAACATCTGGGGGGGAAAAATGTATGAAGAGAACAGATTATATGCAACAGAAGAAGATAATGTACATTCTTTAAGCACAAAATGGAAAGGGGAAAACTGAGTATGTTATGACAATAGAAAAGATGGAGGGGAAGAGGGGCAGATGGAAACCAGGGGAGATGTTGAAAAGTTTTGCTTCATGGTATGGACAGATTTAAGATGGTTGCAGTTTAAACTGACAAATTATTCTGTTTTAGATAGGAACTGATAATTACATCTCTATGTGATGATATAGTTATAAGCTCATACAATTGTCATGAGATATTATACAGTAAAAAGATATGATTTTCACCAAAAAAAAGTTATTATACACTGGCACGTTATAAATTATTACATAATATGTCACACAGTTATCAGCCTACCCAACAACAACAAAATACCCCAAAAATCAGCAAGTAATTTATCTATAATTTATTTAAGTAATTTATCAGAATATACAAAATAGTATAATATTAGACATTCAGCAGACTGGCAGCAACAGAGGTCACCTATCAATGCCTTATGTGTCAACAGAAACATATATATAGGATATAAATATAGAGCTAGATAATACTAGACATCATAGTAATTTATCAGCCTAATTTAAAAAAAAAATATTATTAAATACTAAACATCTCACAGTAATTTATTAGCTTACCTCTTTTTCACCCATGAACTTTTTCAGATCATCATCTGCCAGAGTTTCAATGCCTTCATCATCCATTTCACTGGAGACCTTCAGAGCAGACAGGATATGGGAAAAAGTGTTTATTTAATAGTTAACGGACCTGCAGCCTGGCGATGTGGTAAAAAGTGTTGAATTTAAGGGGTCCAATTATTATTACAATTATTACAAACCATAAAAGAAAATTAGTAACCATGGAAATGAGATGTCTGTGAAGGGCTGTAGGAGTGACCATAAGAGATAAGATCAGGAATGAGATCATAAGAGAAAAAGCCGGCACAGAACCAATTTTAAATTACATTCGAAGACAGCAAGTGAAATGGTTTGCCCACTTAGAGAGAATGCCTTGTGACATCATACCATACAAAGCATACATGGAAAGAGAAGAAGGACGTAGAGCACGAGGTAGACCAAGAACAAGATGGAAGGATAACATCAGAGAAACACTACAACAGCACGATATGCCTATGGTTGAGGTGGCCAGAAGAGCTAGAAACAGAACCTTATATCTCCCTCGAAACCCACAGTGGTAAAAGAGAAAGTGAAGAAGAAGAAGACCAATTATTTTACAATGGTCATTTTTAATTATGTTTATTAACAGTTTTACATCTCTCAAAAACAAAAATCATGGTTGCTATGTGTCAAACATTGCTATTTTTTGGGTTTTTAATTTATTTTGTCTTACAAATATTTATTTCTTTATTATAAACTTTTTAATACTAAATGCTTACAAATTAGAAAAATTGTGTGTGTATTCTATGAATTTTGAACTTTACAAAAATAAACATTCTGAAAAATCCATATTTTTGTCATAAACTTAAAAAAATGAGTCATGAACCCTTAATAGCAAATCTACCTGCATCTATAGCAAATGTGCCTACAACCTGGTGATGCATTTAAACAGCGGCCTTTGCTGGAAGAAATTTTTTCCTCTTCATGTGAAGTCTTAACAGACAGCATTAACAAATAACTAGCATCACTTGTAATAAACAAATACTATAATACTAGACATTCAGCAGAATGGCAGCAATGGAGGCCCCTTGTCAATGCCTTATGCGTCAATTTAATACATATTATACTTTATGTGTCAATATAATACAGATTATACTTAATACTCTATGTGTCAATTTAACACATATAATACTGTACACTATATGTGTCAATATAATATATTTTATACTTGCATTTCTTTTCTCTAAAAGGAGCATTCCATTTATAGCATTTTCTAAACCCTGTTAAGTAAAGATGCCCAGTGGGATGGTCCCCACATTACCCATTGAGTGTTGAATGTCTATAAACATTTAGGTCTAGCATTATATTGCTGATGTGCTAAAGGCACAAAAATTGCCTTCTTTTTTTTTAATGCTTTTTATTTTCCAACAGAGCAAAGCCCTTTAGTATACTCCCATCAAGCTCATCTATTTTTTGTTATCTCAAGCAGCTCCATCCATACTCTCCCCATATTACTCATCTCTGACTAATTATATTCTCTGTGTTTTAATTTCCTTCTATTTAGGCTGCCCTGTGGGATTCAAAGTAAAATCTTTCTAGTTATTCTATTAATAGGTTTCTGAAAACGGTGTCCTATCCAGCACCAGTTTCTTTTTCTAATTCACTATCCATTTATACACTCTCCCGACTTACGACCTATGCGACGTACGACCGCTAAAAAAAAAAAAAAAATAGCTAATAAAGAAAAATTGTGTGTTGTCCATCAAGATGATGATGACCACTCTTTTTCATCAAGTATGAGTACGAAGATGACTGATGAGGTCCATGCGGCCCGAAAAGTTCTTGGACAGTGAGGACAGGGAATGAGTCTTGTGCCAGAGAGGGGATCTCCTGCAGCCACCTTTCTGCCCATCTTTTTCTTAATCAGTCTTGCTGTTCTGTTTGCTTAACATGTTGCCGCGCCCTTGTGTAGAGGTGCACGCCATGCATTTCGGTCTTGAGAGGCAGCCTCCCAAATGCTTTGAGTGAAGACTTCAAGGTGTCCTTAAAGTGTTTCTTTTGCCCGCCTTGGGAACGTTTCCCATTTTGCAGCTCACCATTAAAAGAAAGATTACACTGGCAGGGTCAACAAGTTCCCAGAACTGATGCAATGGAGTACATAACTGTGTACTTTTCACATTATGTACAATAATTATACATATATAGTGAACTTTTGTATTTATAATACATTAGAATAAAAATAGTATTTTTTAACAAATTTGACTTACGACCTGTTAGAAAAGAACTCAATCATAAGTCAAGGAGACCTTGTATAGTCAAACAGCTGATAACTTCTAACTGGCTCATTACATCAGGAACAACTATAAACCTGTTTGTGTCTTATATAAATGTAAACTTTTTTTACATTCAGAATGGACAACCAAAGCTAGAAACTTCTCCCGCTTCTACTGAGGCAGAGGTGTTTTATGCGGTTGAAAAAAACAAATGCGTGATAACTATTCGGGAAAAACTAGCAATATTTGCTAACCAAAAGATGCAAGGTATTTGAAAAAAAAAATTTTACTTTCACTTTAGTTCACCCCATTTTGGGGTATCCATGAGTTCCAGGGAAAGCCCAATATTATAAAGGGAGGTTAGGGTTAGTCTGTGCTCATTTCACACCGTAACACCCCTATAATACCCTATAATACTGGACTTTCCCCAAGAACTCTTGGATTCTAAAAAAAAAAAATTACCCCCAAAAAATTAATTAAATGCAAGCTGTTTGCAAACACTGAACAAATGCTGGACATTCTTTTTTAAAAACTTCAAATTCCCAAACAAATTTAACTCCATTTCCCACGATCTTCTGTAGGTAACCAACAGTTCGAAATTAGCAGTGAAAGCTACTGGTAGCAGGCTACAAACATTTATTTAAATGAATCATGTACTGAAGTTCTTCAGAAAACATATAGAAACACAGAGCATGGATAACACACAAATTCCCTTTTTTTTTTAAATCGAAACATTTTTTCACTGAAACAATGTAAACTTTGTATACTTAGAAAGGGCTACAAAATAAACAGTGGGAAACCTACCTCAGAATTGGCCATGTTATAGTCAGAACTTGATGGTAAAGATGAAGAGCTCACAGATAACGAGTATGATTTGTGTTCCTGTACTGGCCCAGACAAGCCAACAGGTCCCAAGAATCCATAGGAGGAACCAGACCAGGCACTGAGGCGGTTCACGCTTCTGAAATCAAGGGGTGCATCATTCACAGCCCCTGGTTCAGGACCAGAAACTTTTTCTTCTACCACATTTTCAACTTTTTCCTTTTTCTCACTGCTCGCAACATCTTCTTCCTGCTTACTTTGGTTAACAACTGTCAGTGTTATGTCTGACTTGGAGCTGGAGACTTCCTCGCTCTGAAGTCTTTTTTTTGCAATATCCGACTGGGTGCTGCCTGCTATCACTTCAGACGTCGATGACAAAGAAAAGAAGTTTGTTGTGCTGCCTTGTGCATCATCATCATCCTCACTGTCACTGTCATAGCCAGTTAAGGCATTGAACGTGCTCATGCGCTTTGAGAAGATCTCTGTTGTAGAGGCTGCCTCGGTGTTGCTCTTTACCTTAGTACTGGTGCTGCTCTTTAGCTGAGTACTTGTGGACTGTTTGCCCCCAGTGCTGCTGATTGTACTTGAGGTACTTGAAGAAGGTTTTTTGGTGAGAGTGTAAGGTATAAGTGGCCTATTTGTTTCCTTCTTACTTGTGTGCACTGGAGCAGGAAGCAACGAAAACAAGCCACTCTTTACCTGTGAAATATTGAGTTTAAAAAAAAAAAAGTTAATCGTGAATCCTCTACAGGACGTTGCAGAACCAACACCAGCATTTGTTGGCTGTTTTTTTTTTTTACTAGGAAATTTTATATTCAGTAGTTTGCCACTGCTTTTTAAATGGTTGGCTCTCAATTCCCCTGTTGAAATCAATGCAAGGTGGTCTGCTGTCAAACTGCCTGCAGTTGTCATCGAACAGGGTACCTCAGAATTATGAAGCAAAAGAAAATGTGTGTAACTCTAAATTGTTGCATTCTAAGATATTGTTACTTCAACTAATAAATGTTTCACTTGAAGAACGTAAAATAATATCAGGAAAGCGAGTCAAAATACAGGTGGGGCTTTTGGTTACCAAAACAACTTGATGGGACACAGAGATCTGAGTAAAAAAAGATCTCATGCCAGAAGAAATTAACAAAAGCATGGTCAGTTGACTGGAGCTGACAGAGTTAATATTCACAAGAAAGTTACTGTTAAATGTTATATATTTAAACATTATATTATTTATATCCAATAAGGCTGCAAAGCATAAAGAGGGGTGTACAACAAGGATGTGTACTTTCACCTGATTTGTTTTCAATATACAGTGAATATATAATGAGATCTTTAATTGATATGTCCGGAATTGTGGTTGGTGGGCACAATATAAACAATTTACATTATGCTGAAGACACAGTCTTGATAGCAACAAGTCAGAAAGAACTACAGGAAATGATAGACATTGTGGAGTTAGAAAGTGGAAGAATGGGCCTCAGTTTTAATAATGGGAAGACAGAAGTAATGGTGGTATCAAAGAAACAAATTATTCCTAAATGTGTAATAAAAGTCAATGGTGTTATTTTAGGACAAGTACAGAAATTTAAGTATCTGGGCACATGGATAACATCAGAGGAAAGATGCATAACTGAAATAAGAAACAGAATTGGACAGGCAAAAACTGCATTTTATTAAATGAAAAACATCTTGTGCAATATATCCTTGTCATTGAGAGTTAGAAAGGAATTCTTGCTCGCTACATAATCCAGTTTTAACATATGGATGTGAATCCTGGACAATCGGTAGGCAGGCCAAACAATTTTTAGAGGCCTCAGAGATGTGGTTTTACAGAAGAATGCTTAGAATAACTTGGACAGCCAAAAAGAGCAACCTAGAGGTTTCAAAAGAGGCGGGAGCCCGAAGACAACTTATCACAGACATCAGATGGAGACAGCATCATTTTTCGGCCATGTTATGAGAAGAGGGAAAATAGAACATGTTGTGACCACTGGAAAGATCTGTGGAAAAATTGATAGAGGAAGACAACGAGAGAAGATGCTTGACAGTCTTGTTGCATGGCATGGAGGTGTGTCGGCACACGAACTGATACATGCTGCAGGTGATCGCAGATTATGGAGAGGCATGATCGCCCACGCCAGTCAGCAAGGCACCTGATGATGATGAAGGCTGCAAAGAGCATTTGAAGCAGAACTATGTTTTAAACATTTAATACAAAAATGTGACAACTTTAGGGAACAACTACCAAAGTTTGCTAACCAAAAATATCAAACAGGTTTTGTTAGTTAGCTGGGTTATCATAACTGCAATCTAGACATGTCAATAGGTGCTCAGATCCTCCCCTCAGCATGAACCTCAGCATCCGGTGGCTAATAGTTCCAATTATGTGTTGATTACCAAGTCCTCTGGTGTGCCTCTTGTGTTTTGCTATGCCGATTTTAACTCCCAAGTCTATTATTCTGGCAAGTGATATGGATTACTGCCTCCAAAGTCTTCTACCCTTTCCATTTCTCTGAGGGCATTAATAATATCAGCATGATCCATAGGTTAACCGTCAATAGTAATAGCGGATCCAACCAACCTATCATCTCTTTCATTTCCAATCGACGCCTGCGTATCCTGAAACAAAAACAAAGGTGACCATGCACAGTGGACTTCTGTAATGATTCAAGCCATTGCCTTGGCACCGAACCAGCCTGAACCCTTTGGATCATACTAAATGAATCACCAAGTACACATGCGAGGGTGTATTTTGTGTTAAGAGCCACAAAAACACTTGCGTTCCTGCCATCATCACCATCGCCATGCTGCTGGTTGTCGTAGAGAAGGCGTCACTAGCTTTAGTTAAAATGTGCCTGTCACAATTTTTTTTAACAATGAGCTTCTCACGCTATGCCTATTAAAAAAATCTGCCTCTTTTACAAAGACAAAAGCATGCACATAAACACAAGCAAAATGACACATTCTACATACTTTAGACGAGTCTGTCTTTTTCTTCAATTCTTTGTCTTCATTATCAGGTTCCTGTAACAAATTATAAGAAGATTCAAACACGTTTTTTTTATACATTATAATTATTTTGTGACTTCTACAGATTTCCTAGTGTAACAAAAGCTTTTTTGTGCCCTTGTTACTCTCATTTTGATATTTCTATATATTCCTTCTTTGTTTGTACTGTCCGCTAAATAAGTTAATTTGTAGATACTTTAATGGAAGTGTATCCACATAATGTTGAAATTAACCTCACAAGTGAACGGATTAGGTCCTCGATTAGGTCAAGCAGAATTATCCTGAAAAAGATCAAATTCAAGGCAAAGACTTGTTTTAGTTTATTTACAGGATTATAAACGGACAGCCCCAAACGGAAAATGGACTGGAAACGTTAAAGGACGACGAGACAGAAATAGACTTACATAGGCACATGGAACATATGTGGTATTGCCAACAAAGAGCCACAAATAGTGGATTTCATGAAAAGAAAAAATATACACGTCATGGGTCTTGCGGATACAAGAAAGAAAGGATATAATACAAAAGAAATACATGAAAATTATGTTTTATTATGGAGCGGAGTACCCACTAAAGATAGGGCAAAACATGGTGTCGGATTTATACTTCATCCCGAGACAGCAAAATTAATAACAGGAACAGAATTTATATCAGAAAGAATTATTTTAATCAAGTTGACAGAAGGAAGTAAAACTACAACGATCATTCAGATATATGCACCTTGCAACGATAGTTATTCTGAAGAAGAAAAAGAAGACTTTTACGAGAGACTTACGGACACCATCAATAATGTTAAAGAGAAAGAGGACATCATAGTAATGGGAGATTTTAATGGTAGGGTAGGTAAAAGAAGATCACCATGGGAGAGATACCTTGGCCCATTCAGCGACACAACCACAGATTGCAATAGAAATGGAGAACACCTGTTAAACTTGTGTGCTGAACAAGATCTCTACATTACCAACACATTCTACCAACATCGCCAAAGTCAGGTTAAAACGTGGTACAAGTGGAACAACTTAGATCAAGCGTCACAAATTGATTTTATACTAGTCAGACAACGGCAGAAGAGGACGGTAAGAGACTCAAAAGCTGTCCCAAATGCGGGACTGGATTCAGACCATCGCCCAGTAGTTATGAACATATGCAACTCAAGTAGAAACAAAGTCTACATAAACAGAAACGTGAAGAAATCATCAACACTAAGAAATTAGAGGAAGAGAATATCAAACATGAATTTGAACTAGAAATAACAAAGGCTTTTGCAGATATTGCCAAGGAACCAGTAAGAATTGAAGAAGAATGGGATTATTATAAATCAACCATCACGAAGATATTAAAAGACAAGTGTGGTACCAGAAAGACGGGCAAAGGCAAGAAAAAGGGTACCGCTTGGTGGAATGAAGAAGTTAAAGAAGCAGTGTCAAATAAAAAGAAGATGTTTCAAATATGGTTAAAAACAAAAGACGAAAAGGATTACATTAGGTACAGACTAACTCGAAGAGACACCAAGAGAACAATAAAGAAATCCAAAGAGGAATCATGGAAAAAGTATGGTGAACACCTAACACAGCTATGTACAGAATCACCAAGAGACTTTTATAAGAGTGTGAAAGCGATGCGATTAAGAGAAGAAAGCTTCAATCCAACATCAGTCATAAACGATAAAAATGGAAAACCATTATTCAGCCAAAAAGAAATTAAAAAAAGATGGGAGGAATATTTTAAAGAACTTTTGAACCCGTCGGGAGTACATGAAACAGCAGAATTCCATTCAAGGGCTCCAGATCATCTAGAACCACATATCCTGCGGGATGAAGTAGAGAAAGTTATCAAAACAAGTAAAAGACACAAAGCAGCTGGTATCGACGGAATAACAACAGAAGTCATCCAGGCTGGAGGGGACACTATGATCACCTGGCTGGAGAGAATTTTCAATAGAGCATGGGCAGAGAGAAAGGTACCAGTGGATTGGCAAAGATCAGTTGTAGTACCTATCTGGAAGAAAAAAGGAAACAAGAGAGAATGTGGAACTTATAGAGGAATATCTTTACTAAGTCATGTGGGGAAAATGTATGCAAAGATCTTAGAAGGTAGGATAAGAGCAAAGGTTGAACCTCTACTGAGTAAAGCACAATTCGGTTTTCAGGAAAGGGCGAGGTTGCACTGATTGCCATATTTGCACTAAGACAAGTCTGTGAAAAGACACTCGAATACGATAAAGAGCTGAACGTGGTCTTTGTAGATCAAGAGAAGGCATTCGACCGTGTAGACAGAGATGTGCTGTGGAGAATTCTTGACGATTACGGAGTGCAGGGTCAATTATTAGACAACATCAGAGCCCTCTATGAAAAAAAGTGAAAGTGCAGTAAGAACATCTAGTGGTCTTTCTGAATGGTTCAAAGTCACAACTGGTGTCAGGCAAGGATGTGTACTGTCACCATTACTTTTCATAACATACATGGATAAGATCACTGTAGAAGCAAACCCAGACGTGTATGCTATAAAACGAATTACTTTTTGCTGATGATCAAAGCATACTGTATCAAAATGAATATGATCTACAGGAACATCTGACTACTCTCAACAACAGCTGTTTTACAACATAATATGAGAATCAGTACAGAAAAAACAGAAGTTATGAAGATCAGCAGAACACACAGGCCACTGAATATAAATGTTGGAAGTGCCAAAATCAAGCAAACCAAAGAGTTCAAATACTTGGGCAGTATATTTACAGAGGATGGAAGAATGGACAGAGAGATAGAAACAAGAATACAGAAAGCAAATGCTGTCACATACCAACTATCACCTCTGCTTAAACATCCAGATATAACCATGAAGACCAAAAGACAATTGATAAACACCATCTTCATTCCAACACTCTGCTACCAGTGCCAGACATGGACAATCAACAAGACCCATGAAAGAAAAATAGAAGTCTGTGAAATGAAATGTCTAAGAAAAGCAGCGAATAAGACCAGACTAGACAGGATAAAGAATATAGACATTAGAAACACTGTCAAAACTACACCATGTTTAGACTACATAGAACATCAAAGAATGAAATGGTTTGGACATCTAACCAGGATGAAAAATGATCAAATAACATCACAAATTTTCAACCAAAGAAGCTCAGGATATAAGGCAAGAGGAAGACCAAGGAAACTGTGGATTGACGGGGTCTCCGAAACCTGCCAAAAGCATGGCCTCAGAACATCAGATGCTGCCCGCCTTGCTTATGACAGGAACTTGCATCTCCCCACAACGCTTAGCGGCATACGTGGAAGGAAAAAGTAAGTAAAAGTAAGTACAGGATTATATAATTTGTGTCATATTTGCAAACACATTCTCAACAAGTCTAAATCAAGCCCTGACTATCAAATCTTTCCATATTTTCTTTGTGAAAATTATGACAAATGTAATAATGAAACCCAAGAACATTTTACAATGAGGTGCATAAACTCCAACATATTGAGAACTGTGCTACACTATAAATGTATTACTAGCATGCAATGGATAGGAAACCATACGTGTCAACCTATATTGCAAATCTGGTTTATGTTTTAACTAGACAATTCTTGAGTAATTTACTATTAAATGTTCTTATTATACATTTCAACATTATATTATTTATATTCAATTCAACGTTTTTTGAGAAGATGATATTCAATAAGGCTGCAAACAGCACTGAAGCAGAACTGTTTTAAACATAGCTCAAAAAAAAAAAAAACGGGTCAGATTTAATGACAATAGTTATGTGTTACCAGAGCCTATAAAGGATGCAAAGAATAGCATTGTGCTCCACATTTCATAAGAGGCAACTATGGAAAGCTGATGTTTAAAAGGTTTAAAGTTTGGAGGATTGACTTCATTACACTGAATTTTTAACCTATAAGGCCTTATCTCTCTCTCTCTCTCTCTCTCTCTCTCTCTCTCTCTGCAAAACAGCTAGCTACTTGTCAAGAGCATTACACAAAGTCCACAATTCTAGGGATGATCCCTGGGGATCTCTTTAAAAAAATGCGTTAGTGAACCGAACAATTCAGTCAGTGACACTTTCAAGAGTTCAGGGCAAACAGACTGACCACTTCGCCATGGACACACTCGAAGAACTGGTGTCAGACTGACTACCACATCATTTAGCTGCAAAATCCAACAACCAAGCTGTGTGGTCTCAAGGCAAAGTATCTGCCTCGAGTGCTAGAGGTCCCGGGTTTAATCCCCAAGTAAGGGCTGGGATTTTTTTCACGTGGACTTGCACTCCTAGTATTTTCCCCTGGTCTCTGGGTAGTAAGATCGGACGCCCATGTGCATTGTTGCGCACGTACAAAAATCCCTTGGCAGTTGGAAATCGTAAAGAGTAGCCTAACAGCGCTGCCTGGGCAAAATTTTGAGTTAAAAATCTACCCAAAGTATTTCAGGATCCTCGCCGGTGCTACAGATCCTGTGCACTGTGCTGAGCTTCTTCAGACTCAGACTTGAGTTAGAAGAAGAACAGAGCACTTATGGGTTACTACCCGTGTGCCATAATGTTGATCCGTTGTTCAAACCTCATAAGATTTTGTCTCAGGGGAATGAAAGCTCTCTCATGTAATAATGCAACATCCCTGTGTGGGTTCTGGGGCCCCAATTTTTGAAGGGACAAATAATAGACTCATTGCCCCATCAAGCATGTTATAATGGCCCCTTCCCCGTGTGGGCTGTTGGGCCCCACTGAAGGGAAAACAAGAATAGATCCACTGTCTACCCAAAAGTATGTTGTAATCGTCGACTAATTTGAAGCTTCTTTTGAAGTTGGAGTGCATCTGCCTGAGAGGCAAGGAACCAACAATCTGCAAATAAGGCACATTTGTAAAATGAATGTGCATGAAACATTCAGGTTCTGGAACAAGATTAACATCCAGAGGAAGATGAACAACCAGAACTTTCCACCGGAAATTACAGCCAGTGAACACGAAGAAGAAGAAAATAATGGCAACTAAAAAGGGGTTTGATGAAATTTAGTATGTTGGGTCAAAAGGCATAGATATTGCAGGCTAGTGTAAACCACGACACAACATGCCAACCGCCCTTTTAGGGGATGAATGCAGAAGAAGTTACTGAAACCTACAAAGGAAGTAAAGAACACTAACCATAAAACCTACCAAACGGATCACAAAAGACAACAAAGAAGGGTTTGTAGGAAAACTGGCAATCTTTTCTTGTAGAAACCAATCAATCAGGTATGATACATTATGACATAAACAAATCATGAGCAATCTCTATGGTTAAACTGGGAATAAGAGATGAAGGAAGAGGAGAAGGATGATAAACTCAGAGAACTTACTTCATCCAATGAAGGGATTGTGATTTTAACTGGTTGTTTTAGTTTCTTGCTTGGAGGTTTTGGAGCATTAGCGATTTCAGATGCCTTTGGTTTAACTTCATCCTCCAGATCTGTCTCTTCTGTTACTGTTGCATATATCCTGGACTGAGGTGCTGGAAGATCTGAAAATAATCACACAATTGTTAAGAAATGGTCATGTTAATTATAATTCTGAATCAAACAGTTATTATATGCAAAATCTGCTGTGATCAAGATCAAAACCCTATAGTTTTCCTTAACTCGTTAGCCTGGCGATAAATATGTTACTTAAACTGAGCAGCCTTTGTGTAGCAAGGAACAAACAAATGTACAAAAATAAGCCAGTAAAATAGATGTACATGCAAAACTCAGGCCCTGGCACAAAATCAAAGTCCAAATGGACGAACAACCAGGACTTTCCACCAGACCTTACAGCCGGTAAACAAAGAAGAAGAGCATTAGACTTCTTTGTCTGTCTCAAAAAGTGGTAAGTGATTAGGGGTCGCTCTCCAAAGTGATCAAAACCATTCTATTTGAACACATTCAATGCAATGAGTGGTACCTATTTTTCTAATCTCATCTTACCTAATAGTTTCCCTTCCAGTGAAGCTGACAGATTTTCTTAAGCATTTTATTTCAAACATAATTTGTTTCCTCTTTTGCAATTTAGAAAGCCTCTGTGTTTACAGGAAAAACATTTAGTATATAAATGCTCTTTATCACTGACTGATTTCTTATTTATGAGAATATGCTGTAGGAAGAATGGTGACAATGGTTAAGTGACTGCTTTTGGCATTTTGTTTCTATGTTAAATCTTTCATCCTCTGTGAAAATATTACCTGGGTACCCGATTTCTGGGCCTATTGTGTGCTGATTTAGGCCACAGACATGTAGGAAAGTTAAGGGACTATGATGCCTAAAAAGGGTATCCCTTTACCTCACCTCAGGCACTAGCAGGGCTCTGTACTGATTTTAAAGGGCCTTATGCAAAACTGATGCCCTGTGTCCTCAATGTACACTAAAGAAAAATTACTATGGCATACTTTCCTTAAGAATACTGAAGTGGATCATGAAGTAAAGACTGAAAACCAAGATTTGAAAAAGCCTCAGTCACTCACCAGCCCAAGCTAAAAACATGGTTATGTTTTGTCTATTGATGGAAAATTACCATTTCAAAGGGGAAAAAAGGGTTCTCAAGTCAACTGAGCATGATTCCTGCTACATGACAAGTATGATTCAAATATCCACTGAATAGCAATCCTGCCGTGTGACAAATATGTTTTCATTGGTTTGGTTTATGGTTTAGTTTATACAAGGGACCAACATCACAGCACAAGGGTAGTAACCCATAAGTCCTCCGTTCTACTTCTAGCTCAAGCCTGAGTCTGAAGTATATTAGGGCAGTGCACGAACTCTGTAGCACTACTTTCAGTAGATTTTCAATTCTAAATTTTGCCTAGGCAGCACCGTTAGGCTACTCTTTTCAACTTCCAACTGCATTTTTTTATGTGCACAACTTAGTATCCAGAGACTAGGGAAAAATTACTTGAAGTCCATGTGAAAAAAATCACAGCCTTCAATAGGACCTGAACCCAGGACCTCCAGCACTCGAGGCGGACACCATGCCTCGAGACCACTCAGCCCCCTAAATATGTTTAAATGTCCACCACCACTTAACTTGACACATTATCAGGGTCATGAGATAAACCCCCTGTCTTGTGCATGTTTCTCAAAATAAACAGAATGATGAAATATTTTATAACAATGATGAGAATCACACTAAACGTAAGTGACGCTGAACAGATAAACTAAGGACATGACACTGACAAATCTTTCAGTGAGCCCAGTGCTAGAGCTTAGGTGTCAGGTCTGTGACTGAAAACCTGTTGGAAATAGGCGAATGCCTGTTTTGTTCATGCCATCCAAAAAGGGCCGTCTAGCATACAATTATATATTTAAAAAATATTAACGTCTAATTATTCAAGTGAGTTTACAACTTTCATCCGTCTTGATGAGGACTGCTTCCCACTTAGTTTTTTCGGCTCTACTGGCAAATTTGGCCGGTAAGCTGGACTGCTTCGGCCGGCTTAGCGGGGCTTAGTGGGAGTTATGTCCCGTCGCGTCCCTTCGCCAAACTCAAAACAAGTCGCGAAAAAAGTCATGAATCAAATGACATGCTTACCTATCATCATCCGGGTGCGTGTAGGGCTGCGTAGGGTTGCGTCTAGGGTTACCTATCATCATATGGTTGCACGTAGGGTGTCTATCATCATCATTCGGTTGCGTGTAGGGATGCGTAGGGTGTCTATCATCATCATCATACGGTTGTGTGTAGGGTTGCGTAGGGTTTGGGTTAGCGGTAGGGTTAGGGGTGTGGGTTAGGGGTAGGGTTAGGGGTAGAGTTAGGGGGAGGGTTAGGGGGTAGGGTTAGCAGTCCAGCTTACCGGCCAAATTTGCCAGTAGAGCCGTTTTTTCTTCTATATCCTTCCATGCATGCTAACTAAACTGATATGATTATGATACGCAATATTCTTTGCAGATTCAGATTTCAAATGACAAACAACTGAAAATTCCCGCCCATGTGATGTGATTATCTATACAGATAGCTCTGTGTTGAGAGGCAGATGGAAGTGCATAGGGTTTCATAGCAAAGGCGAATAGACGTTGCTTAGTGCAACAAAGCCTTGCATATGATATCACAACGTCTAGTTTGAGAATGGAGGTGGAGGCAGTCTCTGCTGCCTTCCGCTGGCTTGAGAATCAGCTGCACATACATACCGTGATTGTAACGGACTCACAGAGCATGTTGAGAAAGGTGAAAACAGGCATGCTTCCAGAGTGGCAAGCATCACTTCAGAGGTCCCAAGTAGTTAGCATCCTTTGGATATTTTCTCCAGGTAATGCCAGTGTGTTGGGAAATAAGCAGGCAGATAGACTGGCTGGCTCTGCACCACTTGGTGGTAAATTGATGTATGACAAGTCAGATATTGTGAGGGCCCTTTGGGAGTGAAAGAACAGTGTGGAGGCACGGATAGATCATTACGGTCTAAGGAGAATGGCGCTGCGAGGAGATAGTAGGGGATCTGGCCGACGCTCAACACTCAGGGGAAGGATGAAACAGATATACAATCAGACGGTTACTGGTACCATCGGAATTGAAACTCTTCGTTTGCTGTTGAAGATGGGGACTGAGCACTTATGGAAGTGTCCCGAGTGCTGTGATGTCGATTCGATTCTTACTTCAACATTCTGACAGTCATCAAACACTGCGATCATTCTGTATATATTTTATATTATGTGTTTACCTTCTAAAGTTGTAACTGATGTAGAATTTACAGCATCATCAGGTTTGAGGTTGCGAAGTAAGCCATTATCGAAACCTTTCACGGACTGCACATCTGACGTCCACGTAGAAGTAACAGATGACGATCCAACTGAAGCATCAAAATCTTCGTCGTCACTTATGTGCCCAGATGATAACACATTTTTAGTTTCCACCTTATGTGTCGTTTGTACATTTGTTGTGACTGTATCGTCATCACTGGTGTCGCTTCCATCGCTTGCACCATAACTTACTAAAGACATTTGTGAAGAATGAGAAGAATCCTGAACTTACTTATTACCAAAGTACTCAAGAAGCCTTTCTACTTATTTACAACTTTAACAGGAAGTTGAGAACTGCGGCAACTTCAAAATATGCACACCAGAAAACAGAACTTCAAGTACGAAACTAAACACAATAAACCGGGTAGTGCGTTTCAAAAATCATGCTTTTAAACTTTAACAAGTTCCTCGAAAACTCCTATACAGATTAAGAATAATGTTGGTGCTTTATTAATATCCTACCCCAGATGACGTCACATTTAGAGGGTGGTAAGACTGGGTTTCCCGGTTTTCCTATGCTTTTAACGACCCCAAAACATCTAGAACTGGCCCTAACCACAACCCACCTACGTCCCACGAATGAGTGCAGCTTAGGTCCCACGACTGCATACAACGTATCTACCACCTCCTGAAAACTGTCCCGTGACCTTTGGATTTACCCTGTTTGGGTAGGATATTAATAAAGCACCACAATGTGTGTATGTCGCCTTAGATTTCCAGTGTCCTTGTGATTTTATAATTTACAATTCCACAGGTGATTCTGTTTTCTCAAAGCGGCAAATTTCTTTAATCTTTATTCGAATAATAATTTGCATACTCCTAAAAATTAGAATATACAGTGACTGATACATTCATGGAAATTGTTTGGAAATCAGTTCACGCGTGGTATTCTGATAGCATATCCAGAATACAACGAAAATTATGTTATTGTTTTTCACTGAAGGCTGTTGATGGAGATGACTACTTGAGAGTGAAACCCTATAAAACAAATGCAATTTGTTGTTTTAAAAAGTTCCCATTACTCAGTTAAGTGCAAGCATGGAGACTGTTTGCTTGGAATCGCCCCCCTCTCTCTCTCTCTCTCTCTCTCTCTCTCTCTCTCTCTCTCTCTCTCTCTCTCTCTCTCTCTCTCTCTCTCTCTCTTTTTTTTTTTTTTTAACAAAGACAGCAGATTACTTATCAAATTTCAACAACATACACTGAATAGTTACTGAGTTACAGATTTTTCAAGTTGGCAAGACTAAAACGGACTATAACAACGACTGCCTGGAAAAATATAATAAATTTAGGACATTATTATTATTATTATTATTATTATTATTATTATTATTATTATTATTATTATTATTTAGCGTTCGTCCTTAAAAGGACGATTGGCACGTCATGTTGTGGTATACGGCTGGGTTACAATATCTACGTCTTTCGATGAAACGCATCTGAATAACTGTGCCATTTTATGTCACATAGGGCTCGCAGTCTATTCTTCCATTCCGTTCTATCCTGTGCAATCATTTAAATATCATTGATCGAATAAAGTCCAGCAGCTCTGGCCTCTCTCATCAACGTTCGTTTTAGGGTTTCTTTTGGACAGCATCGCCTATTTAATCCCTTTATTTCCCATTATAGTGCCGGTTTGGTGAATTTTTTGGCTCGTTTCACCCTCGGATGTGTCCAGTGTGGCACCATATTAGGTGTCTTATAACTATTGATAATAGTTACCACGACCTTCTGTCAACCAAAATAAGGCCCCAGAACTAAAATAGGACATGGCATATTATTTGTAAATTTAAACGAGACTCACATTGCTCTTTGATAGTGTGGAGGAGAACAAAAGCTACTTTCATGCGTGTTGCGTGCAATAAATTGTATTCCATCCGGGCAGAAGATCTTTATCTTTATATCAGACCAACATAACCTGAAAACTTGACACCGTGAGGCTAAAGAATCTTAGTGCTGATGGCAGACCAACAGAACCTGAAGATTTGACACCGTGAGGCTAAAGAATCTTAGTGCTGATGGCAGACCAACAGAACCTGAAGATTTGGCACCGTGAGACTAAAGAATCCTAGTGCTGATGGCAGACCAACAGAACCTGAAGATTTGACACCGTGAGACTAAAGAATCCTAGTGCTGATGGCAGACCAACAGAACCTGAAGACTTGACAAAGTGAGGCTAAAGAATCTTAGTGCTTATGGCAGACCAACAGAACCTGAAGACTTGAAAAAGTGAGGCTAAAGAATCTTAGTGCTGATGACGAACCAACAGAACCTGAAGACTTGACACCGTGAGGCTAAAGAATCTCAGTGCTGATGGCAGACCAACAGAACCTGAAGATTTGGCACCGTGAGGCTAAAGAATCTTAGTGCTGATGGCAGACCAACAGAACCTGAAGATTTGACACCGTGAGGCTAAAGAATCTTAGTGCTGATGGCAGACCAACAGAACCTGAAGATTTGGCACCGTGAGGCTAAAGAATCTTAGTGCTGATGGCAGACCAACAGAACCTGAAGATTTGGCACCGTGAGGCTAAAGAATCTTAGTGCTGATGGCAGACCAACAGAACCTGAAGACTTGACACCTTGAGGCTAAAGAATCTTAGTGCTGATGGCAGACCAACAGAACCTGAAGATTTGGCACCGTGAGGCTAAAGAATCTTAGTGCTGATGGCAGACCAACAGAACCTGAAGATTTAAAACCGTGAGGCTAAAGAATCTTAGTGCTGATGGCAGACCAACAGAACCTGAAGACTTGACACCGTGAGGCTAAAGAATCTTAGTGCTGATGGCAGACCAACAGAACCTGAAGACTTGACAAAGTGAGGCTAAAGAATCTTAGTGCTGATGACGGACCAACAGAACCTGAAGACTTGACACCGTGAGGCTAAAGAATCTCAGTGCTGATGGCAGACCAACAGAACCTGAAGATTTGACACCGTGAGGCTAAAGAATCTTAGTGCTGATGGCAGACCAACAGAACCTGAAGACTTGACAAAGTGAGGCTAAATAATCTTAGTGCTGATGGCAGACCAACAGAACCTGAAGACTTGAAAAAGTGAGGCTAAAGAATCTTAGTGCTGATGACGAACCAACAGAACCTGAAGACTTGACACCGTGAGGCTAAAGAATCTCAGTGCTGATGGCAGACCAACAGAACCTGAAGATTTGGCACCGTGAGGCTAAAGAATCTTAGTGCTGATGGCAGACCAACAGAACCTGAAGATTTGACACCGTGAGGCTAAAGAATCTTAGTGCTGATGGCAGACCAACAGAACCTGAAGATTTGGCACCGTGAGGCTAAAGAATCTTAGTGCTGATGGCAGACCAACAGAACCTGAAGATTTGGCACCGTGAGGCTAAAGAATCTTAGTGCTGATGGCAGACCAACAGAACCTGAAGACTTGACACCTTGAGGCTAAAGAATCTTAGTGCTGATGGCAGACCAACAGAACCTGAAGATTTGGCACCGTGAGGCTAAAGAATCTTAGTGCTGATGGCAGACCAACAGAACCTGAAGATTTAAAACCGTGAGGCTAAAGAATCTTAGTGCTGATGGCAGACCAACAGAACCTGAAGACTTGACACAGTGAGGCTAAAGAATCTTAGTGCTGATGGCAGACCAACAGAACCTGAAGACTTGACAAAGTGAGGCTAAAGAATCTTAGTGCTGATGACGAACCAACAGAACCTGAAGACTTGACACCGTGAGGCTAAAGAATCTCAGTGCTGATGGCAGACCAACAGAACCTGAAGATTTGACACCGTGAGGCTAAAGAACCTCGGTGCTAATGGCAGACCAAAAGGACCTAAAGATTTGACACCGTGAGGCTAAAGAGTCTCAGTGATGATGGCAGACCAAGAGGACCTGAAGATTTGACACCGTGAGGCTAAAGAATCTTAGTGATGATGGCAGACCAAGAGGACCTGAAGATTTGACACCGTGAGGCTAAAGAATCTTAGTGCTGATGGCAGACCAAGAGGACCTGAAGATTTGACACCGTGAGGCTAAAGAATCTTAGTGCTCATGGCAGACCAATAAAATAAGCAGTAAAGAAACCTCTAAAGAAATTATCATTAGGGCGGTCACCCATAACGGTCACACCAGCTCGATGTAACCTGCAGTCATGTGCCGTTCAGGGTTTTATATATACAGGGTTATTCAAAACGATGGCGAGATGGAGGGGCTTCGAGGTCCCTGAGCTCCCATGTTCCAACGACATTGAAGAATAAGCAAGTAGGCAAGATACGTGATTTTTGTGTTCATAAGAGAAACATGGCACCATACGCTAACCATAATAAATTGATTTTTTTTTTACCAACATGAAGTGATTTTCTGTTGTTTTGCTGTCAGCGGGATCCTCGCCGATGCTATGGAGCTACGTGCATCGCGCTGATTCCACAAACGTAAAAGTCAAATGTCTTGCTTTAAATTGTGTTAGCAATGATTTCATCAATGCCGTATGAGAGACTAAACGCTGTGAGGTTTTCAGTCTCGTGGAAAATAACTTTTGAATGAATAGACTGGATATCCTGAGTATAAAAACTGGAGCTGCGAGACAGGAAAACCATGTGGGAACCATCCGTCGTTACATCAAAAAGAACAGAATAGAAGTTGTTAGCCTAAAAACACTTGGAGACATACTCAGAAGGAGACCGGAGCACTTATGGTCATGTCCTATGTGCGATGAAGATAATCTCCAAATTAACAGTGAACAGTAAACCCTACACTAATCGGCACGGCACATGATGATGGTGACGATGATGATTTTCCTCAAGGTCATCATCATAATCATGTAGCAGGTCCTTTGCAGAACGTCGCTCTCATTACATTCTGCCTGAAAAAAACTCGGTCTCGCCAGTTTTCCCGCCTCATGTACTTTCATACTCAAGGAGTCACTTATATCCTGTGCCCATCTTCGTGTCGGTCGGACCCTGCCCCTCCTTCTTGGTACCATGCCTTCTGCTAAAAAAAATTTCAACCCGTCGTGGCGCTTGATGTGACCAAAAAATCCAGCTTCCGAGACAGGATACTGTTTATTAGCCAATCTTCCTTGATGTTCAGTTCTTTCAAGTTGTCAGTATTTCTGCTCTTCTTTGTCAAAGATATTCTGAGAATCTTTCTATAGCACTTGAGCTCATTTTCTTTCTTAAGGACTGGGAGCTGGTCCACGATCCACCTGCATATGAAGCCACAGGAAAGATATGCATGCTCTTTTTCCTCAAGGTTAGTTAGTTATTCCTCTTGTGCCAAAGATGGCGCATAGGGCAGAGGTCATAGCTTTCCACGTCTGTCGGTTCTTTGCCACTTGATGTAGGTCTTGAGTGCGAGTGAGACCTATGGTTGAGCTCTCCCTTGTGATGGTTCTACGGAGAGTTTCTTTTGGTCTTCCCTGTTTTCTTTTACCCTCTGGTGACCATATGAAGGCTTGGTGGGGAAGTCTCTGTATGTCCATTCTGAGTACGTGACCGATGTAATTCCAGCGACGCTTTCTAATAAAATCAGACACATATTTTTGTTTTGTTTCCTGTCTTATAGATGTATTGGACCTAAAGTCCGACCAGTGAACATTCAATAGCTTTCGGAGGCATCTATTCTCGAAAGCGACTAGTTTCTTATCGATTGATACTGATGATTTCCAACTCTCACAACCATAAGTTAGCACTGGGATCACACAGGAATTGAAGACCTTAAGTTTCGTGTTGCTGAGTGATCTTGACTTCCAAATGTTTGACAGTTTGTTAAAGGCACTTGATGCTAACGCGATTCGAGTCGTTATTTCTGATGTATCTCCCGCAGAGGTTATCTTGCTCCCTAAGTATGTGAAGCTGGTGATTTTTTCAAGAACAATATCCTTTAGTTTGATGTCTTTCGACTCGTTGGTAAGATCGATGATTTTCGTTTTGGCTGCGTTCCTCAAGGAGAAAGTTGAAATATTTGCACACCTCTATTTTACTGTTTGTTTGTTACAATGCAATGTCGAGCTAATCTAGACCGGTCTTGAAAGCTTTCGGTTACCAAGATCATCTGTTGTTTTGACCTCCGAGCTTCTGTGTGCATCTATGATTAGTCAAGCAGTTGTTGCCGACAGTTTTCCTATTTGTTTCACCTACAGATATTTATTTGGCACACAGCAGTAACATATTAGCACCACAATGGCAGCAATGGATGACGAAGATCTGGCCCCAGGAGGCAAAAATATTGCAGACTTTGCAACGTGAGAACCGTCTATTTGAATTTGTATACTGACTCCATCTCTCTGTCTTTCTTTCTCTCTCTCTCTCTCTCTCTGTCTGTCTGTCTGTCTGTCTGTCTCTCCTCGCTCTCTCTCTCTATATATATATATATATAGGTGTGTCTGTGTGTGTGTGCCTGTGTATATGTATGTCTGCGTATGCGTTAGCGTTTGTGTGTCTATGAGTGTGTGTCTGCGTGTATCTCTGCGTGTGCCTGTATGTATGAATGCCTGCGTATCCTTCTGCGTGTGTGTGTCTGTGGTTGAGTGTATGTGTCTGCGTGAGCATCAGCGCGAGTGTGTGTATGTGTCTGCGATTGTATGTGTGTGTTTGTGTGTCTCCGAGTGTATCTGTGTGTTTGTGTCTACGTGTGTTTGTGCATATGTGTCTGTGTCTGTCTGTATGCCAGTTTATGTGTGTGTCTGTATGCTGGTTTTTCTCTGTGTGTGTCGCATGTGTGTGTTTGTGTCTGTGTATCTGGGTGTGTGATTGGGTATGTGCGCGTATGTCTGTTTGTATGTGTGTGGAATGTGCGTGTCTCTGTGGGTATATAGGTATGTATACGGGTGAATGGGGTGCGTTAATGTGTGTGTGAAGGTATGTGGGTGTGTTTAAGTGAGTGGGTGGGTGGGAATGTGTGTGTGCATGCATTTTACCACCCATGTTTTTGTGCTTTTTACCCCCTCTTTTTTGATATTCACAATATGCATATTATCATATGAATATAACATGCTTATTGATAAAATACAAATTCAGTGTGAAAGACGGGTGTTTGGAAGGGCCGAATGTAAGACGGGCCTGCTGACCCAATTTGTGACCCTTTGAAAATAAAGTTCGTTCGTTCGTTCTTTCGTTCGTTCTCTCTCTCTCTCTCTCTCTCTCTCTGTGTGTGTGTGTGTGTGTGTGTGTGTGTGTGTGTGTGTTGGTGTGTGTGTGTGTGTGTCTCTGTGTGTGTGCCTGCTGGTGTTAAAGGCTGGTGTTGAAATCATCTAAGATAGCCCACAAATGACTATCTCGAGTAACTGGAGACAGTCATGGCCCACCACTCCTATTCCAAACAACATTTTTAAGTTCAAAATGTCTGCAGTTCACCACCACCACTCTCCCCCCTCCAATTTTCCAACTCCACTTCCTCGATCCTCAAAGTTTCTGCCTGTTTATATATATATATATATATATATATATATATATATATATATATATATATATATATATATATATATATATATATATATATATATATACATATATATTTTTTTTAATTTGTATTACCAAGACAACTCTGTGTCTTAACCTGGATCATGCAGAGCCATGGTTTGTACTGTGACTAATCCACGTAACCGTCTTTTTAATTGTTTTATTCTAGATTTCCCCATGATGTTGAATAATCTAGGTTTTGTCAGCCAGCAGACAACTGGCACCATTAGGTGTGGGACCCTGATGTATATCTTTTTATATAAAAAAAATGGGGGGGGGGGATTAGAGGATGTGAGTGTCCATGTTTGGCACTGATAGCATAGTGTTGGCTAAAAAATAATTCTGATAAAATTCACTCTAGTACTCCGTGGTATCTTCTTGTGTGTCAACAGGGGAGATAGTAGCCCCATTACTTGATTTGCTTTGGCACATCTCGAGCTAATTTCTCTGTCCAGTTTTCTATCGGATGTGAAAATTGCTCCCAAAATCTGTGTACACTTGCTACTATTTCTTCACTCAATAGACTCGTTGTTTTCACTGTATGTTATGTAGGTATGAAGACTTTCTTTCCTCGCAAGTAACACAGCGGGACATGAACTACCTTGAGGACATAAACCTGGCACGTAAAATCGTAGAATTTGGCTATCGCGGTTCCAGGGAAGGATTTTCGCTGGAGCGGTTCATGGCTGTGAAAGCGGAATTAGAGCAAAGAAAATCGATCTATAACGTTGTAAGTACTGTCGTTTTATAGTTTTGTGTGAGCTGTTTTAGTACTAAACCAGTAAAGAGTCAATAAAGTTGAATGTCGGATGTTTGATGCACTACTCAGGGAATGGGATCTTCATGACGTTATCTAGCAGGCAAACGCTACAAATATAACCAACCATGGAGAGGGTGAGAGAGAGAGAGAGAGAGAGAGAGAGAGAGAGAGAGAGAGAGAGAGAGAGAGAGAGAGAGAGAGAGGAGAGAGAGAGAGAGATCAGTGAAGATTTGCAGCACTGAATGACGCTGGCCAATCATTGTGTGATACTTTCAAAGTAGTCCAAGCCGTGACAAATTTTATGCATCCAAAAATGCCTGTCTATCTACCTGTCAGTCTATTGTCTAAATATACACCTACCTACCTACCTACCTACCTATTTATTAATCTATTTACCTACGTGTATATATGTTTGCCTGTCTGTCTGTCTGAAGTGAACAACAAACCTCTGACCAATCACTATTGGGATACTTTCAAAATAGTCCAAATCGTGACAAATTTTATGCATCCAAAAAATATCTGTCTGTCTTTCTGCCTATCTGTCTGTCTGTATATGTCTGTCTTTCTATATTTCTACCTACCTATCTATCCATCTACATACCTACGAAGGTCGGTCAGTCTGTCTGTTTGTCCCTCCTCCTTTAACAAATATAAGATTTACTGTCGGAGTGTCACTTAATTCCCTCACCAGAAAACTATACTGAGTGCAGGCAGGACCTTTGAGGAGCCAATGTTAAGAGCTCTACAGATGAGAGAAGAAAGCAACCGGACGCGTAAAAATGCCAGCATCATCTTTGTTCGCGATATCAATGAATGTGGTATGCGTTCTGTGTCAGGGTTAGAACAAATGAGCTAGTAAAGATAACTTATGTAACAGTGACAGTCTGAAAAATCTGTACCATTATCGCAGTCACTACAATTTCTACTTCTGCTGCTGGTGCTACTACTACTTCTTCTTTTTCCTTTACAATGACGGTTAAAACGTTATCTTGTGGTTTATTGCTAGGTTGCGATATCTGTGCCTTTCAGCCCTACAGTCCGATTTCAACAAACCACATTGACGATATACTTATTAGAGAAACAGTGGGTGTTAACAACATAAAGCGCCGCGGAATCCAACGAGGATGCTAGCAGTTGCAGCAGTAGCAGAAGTGGTAGAATGGCAAATGCTGCTAATATTGGTAGTTCCTTTTTTCAGCTTCGCTGCAACCTAGTTCATCTTCACCCCACCCGCGTACTTTTTATCGTTTTCTTTATCCCTACTTCTTTTCTTTTTTTTTTTATTCCTTTCTGTTTGTTTTCAGACTTATATTATTTTTTTTTATTTTTAAAAAAAAATTTTTAATTTTTTGTTCCATCTTCTCGTCTTTTTGTTTTGTTTTTGTTTAGACAGTCAAAGCTTTTGGACAGATTTTGAGAAGGAATGTACTCAAGAACTTGCCTATAACTTTCATTGAACATTACCAGAAATCAAAACATTTGTCAAAGGAAAATACAAGGAATTGTGGAGAGAACAAACTAACAGTAAGACCCCACCAGCAGATTCAACAGAAAGTAACATACAATAATTTTATCTCTAAGAACAGGACACTACCACATGCATAAAATAAAGATTGTACAGTCCCCACAGTGTGCATGTCAAACAGGACCACAAACACGTGAGCACATTTCTGCAGACCTGCCCAGTCTACCTACAAGTTCGAAAACAAACCCGTCCTCAAGAGCAAAAGGTGCAGTACAAGTTGTGGGAATTATGAAGGACCTGCAGCTGACATGCTAGTTTACAGTAGGGCTGTACCGAATAGTAATTTTCACAGGGTCCTCAGTCACATGTAAATTGCGCACTTCCGGCTACTTAAATTGCGCACTTCCAGCGACTACCGTCACCCTCGAGAGGGGCTAAACTAGATGTCCGGGACTCTTCTGCGTAGCAGCGTGGGAGATACTTTCGGACGGTGGCAGCAGAAGTTCGCAATTTACATGTGGCTGAGGCCCTGTTAGGGTGTGTGTTTTTTACTTTGACCGCCATCATATGTGTGTCTATCTGGCCGGCTAGGTCGTGTCCTCTCATTGTGCAGGTTTGGATCTGTCATCTCCTTCCGTGTTCGCTATAAGAAGACTGGTAAACAAATATCGAAGTGGGGCGAGTCGTGCTCACTACATGAAGACTGGTGAACCGGCAATGAACTAGGGCGAGTAGTGCTCACTAAAGAAGGCTGGTGAACAAACATCGAACTGGAGCGAGCAGTGCTCACTACAAGAAGACTGGTAAACCTAAATCTAACTGGCGCCCGCATTGTTTACTACAAGAAGGCTGGTAAACCAGCAATGAACTGGGGCGAGCAGTGCTCACTACAAAAAGACTTGTGAACCGGCAATGAACTGGGGCGAGCCCTGTTCACTACAGGAAGGTTGGTGAACGAACATCGAACTTGGGTGAGTAGTGCTCAGTATAAGAAGACATGTGAACGAACATCAAACTTGGGCGAGCAGAACTTACTACAGGAAGACTGGTAAACCAGCAATGAACTTGTGCGAGCAGTGCTCAATACACGAGGACTAGTAAACGAACATCGAACTAGAGCGAGCAGTATTCACTACAAGAAGACTGGTGAACGAACATCGAACTAGGGCCAGCAGTGCTCACTACAAGAAGACTGGTGAACGAACATCTCACTGGGGCAAGCAGTGCTCACTACAAGAAGACTGGCGAAACGGCAATGAACTGGGGCGAGATTGTTCACCACAATGACTGGTGAACCAACATCATACAATAAAACTGTTACTGGTGCGAGCAATGCTCATTACAAGAAGATGAAACCTACATCGGAGAGAATGGCTCACTAAAAGAACACTGGTGAACTGGTCGAATTTAGGCGAGCAGTGCTCACTCAAAAAGGCTAGGGAACGAACAAGCTGAAGCGACAGGACTCACTGAAGGCAACCTAACTAAACACCAGCTAAGCGCATTGGGGAGCGCATAAACGATCCTTAGTCCCCCCTGCTCACCCTAAATGAGTACTGTCAAAGATGAAGAAGAACAGAAAGAAGAACTTGAAGAAGAAGAAGAAGCAGTGCTTAGAAGAAGAAGAAAGAAGAAGAAGAAGAAAAAGAGAAAGAAGAAAAAAAAGAATCGAAAATCGTTGCTACGGAAAGTAGCTTATTTAATTTACAGTGCCCCTGTAAAATTAGCCTTTAAAAAGTCTATGGTTAAGCACCAGCAAGGAGATACAAATTAGAATTTTGAGAGCATGCATCTTTCCTGTGGCTACATACGGATGTGAGTCGTGGACTATCTCTCAGTCCTTAAAAAAGAGAATAGGGTCTTTTGAGCTGAAATGCTATAGAAAGATTCTCAGAATATCCTGGACAAAGAAGATGAGAAATATTGACATCTTAAAAGATCTGAACATCAAGGAAGATTGGCTAATAAACAGCATCCTGTATCGGAAGCTGAAATATTTTGGTCATATCAAGCGCCACGACGGATTGGAAAGAAATTATAGCAGAAGGCATGGTACCAGGTAGGAGGGGCAGGGGCCGACCAACACGAAGATGGGCACAGGATATAAGTGACTCCTTGAGTGTGAAAGTGCATGAGGCGGGAGAATTGGCGAGAGACCGAGTTTCTTTCAGGCAGACTGTGATGAGAGCGACGTTTTGCAAAGGACCTGCTACATGATGATGATGATGTTGTCCTTGTAGAAGTTTCAGTTCAGGCTATCTTTTTTTTTTTTTTTTTTGTCGAAGTATGGGAATATTATTACACAACTAAATTTTAACGCCTTCTTTTAATTATAAGGCTGAATCTGATTGGTGGTAATATAATTTCTTTGTGTGTTTTGAAAATTAAGCAATTGTTGCTTGATTTTCATCTGTTACGTTACACTGAGAAATGTACGAACAGTTGATCAGACTGCTCTCTCTCTCTCTCTCTCTCTCTCTCTCTCTCTCTCTCTCTCTCTCTCTCTTTCTTTCTTTCTTTCTCTCTGTCTCTCTCTCTCCTTCTCTCTCTCTCTCTCTCTCTCTCTCTCTCTCTCTCTCTCTCTCTCTCTCACTCACTACTGCTGCTGTTTGTTTTGTTTTCATTCAATGCTTCCTAGCTGCGCTCATTTTGGGAAACACTGATTTCAATGTTCCCCTATTTATTTTAAATACTCTTCTACGATCCCTATATACACGTTACACACTCCAGTTGAGTGTTTGCTTACTCCATATCGAGCTATTACTTCCCATAAAACTTGCCTATCGACTCTGTCGAATGCTTTTTTTCCTGGACTAGGAATGCCACACACACACACACACACACAAGTTGTTATGGATTTGTTGTTCTTTTCAAATAACTTTTTGAGTATATGTACAGCCAACTGTAGTTTCATCAGTGGCCTCAGACTTGTTTATATTATCTTGTGCATATTGCCAGTCAATGAGAACAGTTTGTTGTAACCATGATGATATGATGTATCAAGGAACCACTAGGGTGTAGTCGGGAGCCACTAGATTGTAGCGGGGAGACACTAGGTTGTAGCGGGGTGCCACTAGATTGTAGCGGGGAGCCACTAGGTTGTAGCGGGGAGCCACTAGATTGTAGCGGGGAGCCACTAGGTTGTAGCGGGGAGCCACTAGGGTGTAGCGGGGTGCCACTAGGGTGTAGCGGGGAACCACTAGGGTGTAGCAGGGAGCCACTAGGTTGTAGCAGGGAGCCACTAGGTTGTAGCAGGGAGCCACTAGGGTGTAGCGGGGTGCCACTAGGTTGTAGCGGGGAGTCACTAAATTGTAGCGGGGAGCCACTAGGTGTAGCATGGTAGGGTGTAGCGGGGTGCCACTAGGTTGTAGCGGGGTGCCACTCGGTTGTAGCAGGGAGCCACTAGGTTGTAGCAGGGAGCCACTAGGGTGTAGCAGGGAGCCACTATGTTGTAGCAGGGAGCCACTAGGGTGTAGCGGGGTGCCACTAGGGTGTAGCAGGGAGCCACTAGGTTGTAGCAGGAAGCCACTAGGGTGTAGCGGGGTGCCACTAGGTTGTAGCAGGGAGCCACTAGGGTGTAGCGGGGAGCCACTAGGGTGTAGCGGGGTGCCACTAGGGTGTAGCGGTCAGACGCTGGCCTGCGAATCGGAAGGTCGTGGGTTCGGGTCCTGATGGAGTCAGCTTTTTTTTTCCTTCCAAAAATTTACCCTGGCTTTCATTTGACCCAACCTCGAGCTATTTAGATTGCCTACCTAAAGATCTATACACAAGCTAGCTGAACAGGTATAGTCCTGGAAACTAGGGCTGTACCGAAAATTGATTTTTACTATTCGGCCGAATACGAATGGCGGGACCAACTATTCGATCGAATACGAATACGAATAGTGTATAGTGTATAAAATATATCTAAAAAACACACATTTATAATATCAAATGTACGCTGAACTTTTACTTCACACAGAGTAGCACAGAATAGTCATCTCTTCTTTAGCATTCTGAGCCCTTGAAGTTTACTGCTGCAGATATAACTCATCTCCATTCATCTCTCTGGCTGGCCTTATCTTCACAATTTGTGACACCAGTTGTTTGCAGGTCTGGCTGGACATTATCTCTCGAACTTATTTTTTGTCTGCCTCGTGGTCTACGCCCATTCCTCTCTCGGGTGTATACAGTTTTTACTTCTCTGTCATCTGACATTCTTTCAAAATGTCCCAACCATTTTAGTGTGTTAGCCCTCATGACGCTAGTGATCAATGGTGGTTTAAACAGATTATGTGTTACGTTTGCTTCTGACTCTCCATTCCCCGCTGTTAGCATCTTTGATGGGTCCAAAGATTTGTCGTAGAACTGTTTTCGAAAACCTGTAATAAGGCCTCATATCTTTTATTTCTGCTTCAAGTTTCAGAGCCAAATAAAACGACTGGTCTTTTCAACGTTTTATATATTTTTATCTTGGGGTTGCGAGACAGACACTTTGACTTTAGCAGATGTTGAAGGGCATAGTACACTTTATTTCTAGATTGTATTTTAGATTGTATTTCTTCTCTCAGCATGTTGGAACAGTTGAAGTTTGCACCCAAGTACTTATATGTTTCCGTTCGTTTGATTTTCATATTATCGACTTGTGTGTGGCCGGAATTTGTATTCTTTCCATGTCTAGTTAGTATTCGCACAGAATAGTAAACATTTAAAAACATTTTATGCTCTGCAACCTTCAGTCAGTCTGTGGTAGCTAATAACTAGGATTGAAAGAATCCTAAGTATTATAACAAGTAACTAAACTTGGAAATTGTCACTGACAGCTTAGTTAATGCAGGAAAGCTGCATTAGCTTTCAACAAAACCAATCGTTCCATTTTAAGCTGTGTATACAGAAGCGGGTGTAAGGTAACTACTATTCGTATTCGGCCCGACCACAACTATTCGGCCGAATACCGAATAGTCAATAGGCCCACTATTCGGCCCGAAACGAATACGAAGCGAATATTCGGTACAGCCCTAGTTTATAGAGGCAGCCCACCTGACGGTTTGACCTGAGCACATGAAACCGAACGCAGAGAAGAAGATGACAACTGACATAACTGATGAGGAAAAAAGCAAAGGAAAGGCAAAGCGATACATACCTGCATCGCTTGACCATATGAAACAGGGCGACACAATAACACTGACCTGATCTGTAATTCGTGTTGATCGTGTGAGATGGCGAACCGCCTACGCTTATCGACAGGGCACATGCTGATGACGATTCGTATTTTTGTGTTAAATAATATGGCTGCTCTGATGTTTCAGGTCAAGAGGTATCCTCGTATATGGATTATTCTCATCGCCTGGCGACAGAAGATTTTCGCCTGATCTTTGACGGCAAGAAAAAACTGGTACCAAAGACAACCGATCTGAGCTTCTTCAATTGGGAGACACAAAATGTAGCCAGTAAAAGCTCACCTAATTACGAAGTACGTTTTCGTGTGGTTGTGACGAGAAGTGATGTTGTTTCGTTTTACTTCACCTGTACAGGATAGGCATAAAAGAATCTGCTGCCTGTGATTGTGGGGCAGAAAGACAGACCCTTGAGCACATACTGCAGTATCGCCCTAACCTCTCCCAGCAAAGACTGTGGATCTAGTCCAAGGGAGCCACATTGCAAGAGAAGCTATGGGGGACCGGTGGCGACCTTAAACGCACAATCCTATTTGTGACCCAGACGGGACTCAGTGTTTAGCATGACTGATGTCGAACGCAGAAGAAGAAGAGGAAGAAGAACTTCACGTCAAAGTCACAAATGGCAAATAATTTCAGAAAATTCCTAAATTGTGCCGTGTCACAGTTCTTTTCCTTTTTTTAGCGTTCATCGCTGTAAATTCCAGCGGAAAGTTCGGGCTGTTCGTCCGCTTCTGGCTATTCCAGAACTTATCGTTTCTTGTTCCAAAACTTACGGTTTTGCGTGCACATCCATCATACAGATCTGGCTTATTTTTATGCAGACTGCTGGGGTTTTTTCCTCTCAGGCAGATGCACTCCGACTTTGAAGGAAACATCCATAATTAGTCTACTTTTACGACTTGCTTGTTTTGGAGCCATAATCTTTTCCCTTCTAAATAGGGCTCCGGAACCCAAACATCGAGTGTCGCATAGCTCGCTGCCATATAGGTTGCTTTCATAGATTATATTTTAATGCGAACTACAATATAAAAAAAAATTGCAAAATTGCAAAATAATGACAATAATAATGCATTAAACAATATACGTGGACACTAGGAGCAGAGGAAGGAAGTTATCCGATTACGTCGGTTACTTCGCGCGCACTTACACAAACAGTTGACAACTCTCGCTTCTATGGACAGATTTCTTCGAATCTGCTCTCTAGAACATTGCAGTCCTCTGCTGGCGAGATCCTTTTTCTCGGAAAACACTCTTGAAACTGCTATAAAATCCCTTCGATAGCAACATTGAAGGGAAGAGCCTGCCCAACATCAGTCTAGGATCATGACTAGACAATTACCAGCGAGACAACAGGGATCGCACTGACATAGCAATGAAGGCAAGTTAGAAAGCTTAGTGCGGCAAAACCTCTTTTACCGCGTCTATAAGTTTTTCTTTCCACCTGCCTAGGAACTTTTGTGATCGAAGCGATACATTTAAATAGCTAGAAACGCTGAAGAAAGAATGTCGCCATTTTCGGTTTAGAACTTCTCGAATGTTCCAGCATATGCGAGATTTTCTGATTATGTTGTTGTTAATCCTCGTGTGGGTTCCGGGGCCTCATTGTGGGGGAAAACAAGAATAGACTGGGATTTAGGCAGATTATCGTTCAGCATAGCACTTTAGGTGTTTCATTACCAGAAACACTTCAATACAGAGCCCATAGAAAAATCCCAAGTATAAACCTCACTGTTTCTCTCTCTCTCTCTCTCTCTCTCTCTCTCTCTCTCTCTCTCTCTCTCTCTCTCTCTCTATCTCTGTGTGTGTGTGTGTGTGTATGTGTGTGCGTGCGTGCGTGCGTGCGTGAGTGAGTGAGTGAGTGAGTGAGTGAGTGAGTGAGTGAGTGAGTGAGTGAGTGAGTGAGTGAGTGAGTGAGTGAGTGAGAAATAGAGATCCTGCTAACCATTTTCTTCGTTTAATATCGTTGCAGCTGTTTCTGAACTTGAAGCAGGCAATGCTAAAATATTCCCAAACTAATATTACTTTTTATCACCAGTATAAACAGTTATTTGACTGCTTTCACTGTTTCAACACATTACCATGTTACTGAGATATATTTTTTTCCCCAGATTATCGCCAAAAGTCCTAGCGGAATGTTATTCAAAAACAAACGAGATGGCAAAATTATCAATCCTGATCCTTTCATCGGATCACCGGGTGACAACTCGTCTAGGACTGTGGTGCCCACTACCACTTACATCAGTGTTATCGTTTTCGATCACTACAACCGACGAAAGACATAGGCAACGTGCAAACGAGTACAACAAACAAAAGATCGTGAATGGTAACGCCGTAAAGGATCACTCGTACATTACCAAGCGTTACTTGAGCTTTGTCAATTCTAAGAAGTTGCTTTTTGAACTAATAAATGTTTAGATCTGGGAATCAATATATATATATATATGAAATAATACATAAATCAATTGGGGTTGAGTGAGCTAGCACAAAAACGGAAGAGAAAGGGTTAAAGAAAGACTGACCAAAACCCAGGGTCAGTTGATTGGTACCTAGTTTAATAGTTTACCTTTATCTGGGATGTACCCCCGACGAATTCCGCGTCTTTAAATGTTTGCCTACAGTCGTACATGAATGTTCTGCCGAGGATGCAAATATATGCGCGCGAATAGGTACTCCAATTTTTGCAGACGCGCTAAAATCAAATGAGCTCAAACATACTGGAGAAAATCTGCGAGGTATTAGTTTTAACTTTATAGAAAATACACACTATCCTTTACTAGAAACAAAAATCCCCAAAAGATTAACATGAAAACTTTTTAAATATGTGTCATCTTTGCGCTATTCCGTATAACTGAAAAAAAATATCAAACGTTATACTGTGTAGTAGTTATGCCAAAAATATAATGTTTAACCCTTATGGGCTACAATTAAAACATATCGGTTTTTCTTATCTTTAGCACTATGATGTTTTAACTTACACTTTTGACTATTTAATGCTATATAGATTTATAAGTCATACTTTTCAGATAATTGCGATATTCCCTTTGTGCTATATTCTGTGAGTGTATCTAAAGGCTGTCAATAAATAGTTGTTTTATTTCAATATCATATTCGTGTCATATATTGCAAAATCAGTTTTACTTTAGTTTGCTTTACTTCCGTACAGTCCTTTAGAGCAATCTTGTAATCTCGTCATCTCCTTGTGAGATGCAATTTTTCTCTATTTTGAAGCGCCACTCTGGCTCTTGCCAGGGGCTGCAATATAGCCCGACCATAAATATGACCTAATGGCTGAACACGGTTTCTGGGACCTCTCCACGGGTGATCCTCATCCACATGGTGGCACTCTGCGTCATCGGGTGTTTATCGCTTGTGTGATGTCCTGGTGGGGTCAAAATCTCCTACTACTACAGAGCCATCTGTAATTAAGAAAGTCGTCCCCTTGTGGGATGCAATTTTTCTTTAATTGGAAGCCACACTCTGGCTGTTGGCGGAGGGGGGGGGGGGGGGAACTAATATAACCTGACAGGACCTCTCCACGGGTGATCCTCATCCGCATGGTGGCACTTTGTGTCACTGGGTGTTCATCGCTCTGTGTGATGTCCTGGTGGGGTAAAATCTACTTAGTTACTACAGTAATCTGTTTAATACTGTCACAAGTTTACTGCAGCAGATTATATATTCAATTAAGGGTATCGTTTAGAGCCAATAGTCCTTGCAAGAATTTGATTGATACTATTTCGCGTCTGGTATTCTTAAAAGAGTCGGCTCTGTGGCTAAGTCGATGCGAACGCTTCGTAATGCCGGGATGCCGGGTTCGATCCCAGCTGCGGGCTATGCGCCTTGCGTTGGTTTCGACAGTGATATCAAGAAAGCCGACCGTCCAGGAGTAATGGCAAACTACTGGACGTAAATTTGCCTAGAAAAACCACGCAACAGTCAGGAGCTGTTAGGGTTTGTTCTGCAACGTCCTGTAAAGGATTCGCAACTAACCTATTCAGAAAATATATTTATAGCCAAGTAAGCCACTTCGAGTTTGTGGCTATACTGCAAGGGTGGCCAACCTTTTTAGGGTTGTGGGCTACTTTTAAGCTCGCTGTCCTTAAACTCCATCCCATAATACCAAATGTTCCACTTAAACCTTACAACGACTGCCCCGCTTGGCTTAGGGATAGCCTACCAACAGTCAGAACCACTGTAACAGGGGTCTCCTCCAAATCATCAATGAGCAGCACTGATATGAAATCAACTACAGAAGGAGAGATCAATAGACTTTACCCACACCAGAGTTGGATTCGAGTGTATACAGATGGTTCAGCCCAGAGAGCAGTAAGAGACGGAGGAGGAGGAATATACATAGAATGCCCAAATGGTTTAAAAATCAACCAGGCTGTACCAACAGGTTCATATTTCTCCAATTACAAAGCAGAGGCAGAAGCACTTCTAGCGGACAACAGCACAGCAAATATAGCAGAGTGGTCTTTCTGACTGATGCTTTGTCAGTTCTACAAGCAATTGTTAACCCAAAAGACACTCAGTTTGTAGACTTGACGCAACAGCTGATTTACTAAGGCTCTTCAGTAGAACAATCTGTACTGCAGTGGATTCCAGGTCACTGTGGCATTGGAAGGCAATAAAATAGCGGACAGATTGGCCAGAAGCGGCAGTGACATGGTACAACCAAATAGCGACTTAACCCACCAAGAGATGAAAACACTAATACAATCTAGTATCCAAGAAAGGTGGCTGGATACCCACACCAGATTTTCTCCCTAAGACTCGCTTCATCGCCTCTCTAGAGAGGGACAGTGTATTATATTCAGACTAAGGACAGGGCACAACAGATTTCGTCAAGAATATGTTCAAATTTTTGTATGAAATACGGAGAACGATCCCTGCAGCGTGGCACCCGAAAATGCTGAGCATGTGCTCCAACACTGTCAACTGTGTGCTGACAACAGAGACGCAATCTGGCCTGTTCCAACCACACTGAAGACAAAACTGTATGGTACACGAGAGGATATGGATGGCACGATAGCTTTCATAAAGGCTACCGGCCTCCTGATATAAGTTTTCTGACAGAAGGATCAAAGAAGAAGAAGAAGACTGGTGATCAACCAGATCAACTTTATAAACTATAAAGACACACTAATAAAAAGTACATAAAAAGGGGAAAATAAAGCCGTAACCATGGAAATAAGATTATATAGTTTATAAACATTCAATAAGTATAACTTGTTTTATGAGCATTAAACACTGCAGGTTAAAAAAAAAAGATCAAAAAAGCATTTACTTTTCAATAGACAGTTTTTTGAATTGCTCCCGGACACTGCATTCCGCTTAGTTTATCATATGCTGACGTAATTGCTAATCTCAAGCAGAAAATAAATGTATGCGATAAATACTTGTACTGCCTGCTACTGCAGATAGGCTCAAAGTTCTGCAGGCAAAGTCATATCTCAGAGTAGCTGCAGACAAAAAGCACCTCCTGCATAAAGCCCTGGGTAGAGCTTAGGGTCACAGACTGAAAAGAGGAATGTCTTCGATGGCGCAAGCTGAAGACACAATTGGACATGTGTGCAGACTTGATAAATTTTAGCGAGGAGAGGAGTGGGTCAAGGTGTCCGGTCTTGAGTGCAGAGGCTGACCAGCTGGTGCTGCAGAATCAGAAGTTCAACAAATGGTTCATGATAATACCTGCCCAAGTGATGTGATTATCCATACAGATGGCTCTGTGATGAGGAGCGGACGAAGTGCATGGGTGTTCATAGCAAAGGCGAATGGACGTCGCTTAGTGTAGCAAAGCCTCGCATATGATATCACACTGTCTAGTTTGAGAATGGAGGTACAGGCAGTCTCTGCTGCCTTCTGCTGGCTTTAGAATCAGCTGCACACACATGCCGTGATTGTAACTGACTCACAAAGCATGTTGAGAAAGGTGAAGACAGGCATGCTTCGTGCAGTGCCAGCATCACTTCGGTAGTTAGCATCCTTTGGATATTTTCTCTAGGGTATGCCGGTGTGTTGGGAAATTAGCAGGCAGATAGACTGACCAGCTCTGCACCACGTGATGGTGAACTGATGTATGGCAAGCTAGATATTGTGAGGACTAGGACTGCTTACTGTCTCAAAGAGTCCGGTGGATTAACAAGAGCGCATACAGAATGAAGCTATGCAGGTCATTCTGGGATTGTACCAGAGACACCCCTGTTGTGTGTATGCGATACATCCTTGGTTTATCCGACTGTTGCAAGTAGGCTAAATATGCTGCAGGCAAAGTCATATTTTAGAGTAGCTGCAGATACAAATCACCCTTAGCACGAAGCTCTGGGCACAGTTAAGGGTCAGCGGCTGATAAGAGGGAAGGCATGGATGACTCAGGCAGAAGACACAATCAGACAGGTTTGCATCCTGGAAAACATTAGGCGAGGAAAGGAGTGGGTCAAGGTGCCAGCTGAATTGTCAAATTTGTATAGAGTCATAATCATATTGAGTCGGGAGTGCATAGTGGCCAGCAGCTGCCACTGAGGTGGAAATTCAGCAATTAATTCAAGATAATGCTGGCTCAGAGGATGTGATAATTTATACACACGGTTCAGTGTCAAGAGGCAAAAGAAGTGCTTGGGGTTTCTTAGCAAAAGTTAATGGTCAATGTTTGTTGCAGGAGAGATTAGCATATGAAACCACATCATCCAGCTTAAGAATAGATGTGGAGGCGGTCACTGCAGCTTTCCACTGGTTAGAGAATACGACATAAATTGTGACTGTAACTGTCTCAGAAAGCATGCTGAGGAAGGTCAGGACAGACATGCTTCGCTGCGGAGTTCACGGGTGAGGAGTATTGTCTGGCTCTTTTTTCTAGTATATGCCAGTGTTGGGAAATGAACAGACTGGCTGGCTGTGCACAACTTAGTGTGGGAAAGCTTGTCTAATTGAGACAAGCAAATTGATCACCACAGTCTGGGAGGGACGAGGGGTTTTGGCCGATGCTCTAAGCAAAGACAAGACGGACATTTAATCAGAAAGCGGCTATCCTCCCAATAACGGTCCTAAATTATCGAGCCGGCAAATATACCCTAACAGGGCCTTAGTCATGTGGCAATTGCGCACTTCCATCCTCTAAAATTGCGCCGCGTGGATCGGGGCTAAATTAGATGGATGGGACTCACGAGCAGCAGCTACTGCATGTCCTGCAGCTTCCTTCATTTTATTTGCTCGTGACTCCTAGCTATCTAGTTTAGCCCCAAACCACGCCGCGTGAGCGGCGTTAAGGATACACTCGGTG